TGTTTATTGATGTACTTGTCTGGTGCACACTGGGGACTTTTGCACATGTGTTCCAATGTGGTTTTACTGCAACTTGCAAATAAAATGTATCTGAATCTGAAATGTCAGCCAGTATTAGTGTTAACTTAACTTGACTCTTAAACATAATCCTGAGAATACTTAGGTAGGTACTTATATATCACTTGTCTACAATCAAATGTTATGTATATTACAGAATGAAACGAATGATGCACAAAATAGTTTGAAAAGGGGTTGATGAAGCTTTATTGGCTGCTACCTCTCACTCATTCAATATACTGTACCACAAAACACACACACACGCACAGTATTGTATTGTGTTTTTTGAAATGTGTAGCCTCCTATGGACAGGTGTTGCAAATTAGCAGTTTTGCTATAACACTGGAAACAATGTATCTGGTTTGTCCAATGCAGTTGATATGTCCATATCAAATAAACTAATAATAATAACAGACACGCGCACACATACATACACTCTGACCATACACAGCTCGCTCCCATTACTTCTCCCATGTGTTGAGGGCATTACTCCTTCCTCCAGATATTTCTTTGCTGTTCATGATTTGTTCATTGTGTAGTAGAAAGCATTTGGAAATCCATGAACAATGTTGTAAAGCAGGCATGTCCAAACTCAGGCCCAAGGGCCAATTGCGGCCCTCTGCGCCATTTTATGTGGCTCTGTTGCTAACACAAAGTCGCCGTTGAGGCACTTTGACAGTGTCATCCAACCAACTGCAGCTCCACCAATTTCGTTATGAACTGATATTTGTTTTATGTGTCACAAATAAAATGCAGATGTGGTGAGAATCAATGAAGACTTGTCATAACCCATTTTACAATCAATCAACAGTCAATCCAGATCAAATCCAGTGTTTTAAATCCAGGTCGTCAGCCCTAGGTCAAGTCTGATGAACTAAAGTGGCCCTCTTACTAAAAGGTTTGGACACCTTGTTGTAAAGGTTGACTAGAATCGTCCACACAAGAGTCCAGCAGATTTCCTTAGACCCCACTCCCCCTTTGCGTATAGTGTAGTTAGTTAGTCCTAGTGACAGAACTAACCAAACTCTTTTTTTCCTGTTTCCATCAGTATTTCAAAAACAATCACTGTATTTTTTCTGCCACTGAAACCAAATTGCCCCTCTGAGACAATAAAGACAGCTTGAAACTTGAAACTAACCCGACGCGTTTTCAGATTGATCACATAAGCCTTGCGACGCTCAAAAAGGAGTCTCGTAATTTTGCCTAAACACCCAAACATTGGAACAGTAATCTGAAATAATCGATTACTGTCATGTTTACATAGAGACACAGAACTAGAGCTGTGATGAAATGTAATACATTAGTTGTTTTGACCAAAACAAAGTTCAGACGATGGCCCTGAAGAGCATCCTTATAGAGATAACTTGTTGCACTTTGGGTCGTTTGATTGAAAATACATTTTCCTTTCATTTTACAGTCAAAGGTACCGAAGAGAGATTTTGTAGCTCCTTTGTAGTTTTTTAATCATGTTTTTAAGAGTTTTATATGTGCCTCACTGTGTCTTGCCTCCCCATTTTTATTCATTTGCCCCTGGTGTATCCTGTTTGTTTTCCAATGTATTGTATTCTGCAAATGGCAATTAATTGATTCTGATTCTGGGTCGTTATTGATTCATAAACCCTCTTCTCATCCGGTTTCAGTCCTTGTCAAGTGTAACAGGCAATAATTCAATCACTAGATTTGTTAACAACTACAGTACTTGTTACAACCCTCACACAATATCCTGGGTTTACGTAATATACCTATCTATTGTGTTCCGCTGTATTCGTTGCCGGGTTGCAGGGGCAGCAATCCAATCAGAGACGCCCAGATTTCCCACTCCACACACACTTCCTCCAGCTCATTGGTTCATATGCACCGGTTGGTTAGCTTTATAAATAAGGCCCCTGTCCAGTTTGTGGCCGAGCCCCCAGGCCAAACCACTTGTTTTAAAATAAACATCTCTTGAAGAATGGATACGCACAATTGCCACAACTCGTTTAGTTTGTAAATCGGTTTGATGGATTCTATTCATTTGGGATAAAAGACGTCAGAGCTAATAAGTGGTTATTTGCTTCGATCTTCTGTCCGGAGTGTCCTGCTGGTGTGATTGGCTGCTCTGATCTAAAGCAACAGTGGCGCTCGGAGCATGGGTGGTCTGCGAGACACACAAATCCTCGACCTTGACCCGAGTAATGCTACAGGCTCAGGCCCAGTCACATGACACGGTGAAAAGCCACTTCAGAGGGATGTATGTATGTAGCTGCAAATGTACAGTAGGGAAAACTGGTCTTTTGGCATGTTCTTTGTTAGAGTCGGTCACATCTACCACAGTGTTTTAATACTTAATTCTTTATTATGCTAAAGTCAAAAATTTGATTTTTGTATGGAGTTATTTCTCATTCTACCGAGCTGTGATTGGTGATGCAACACTGAAATTTCCCCACTGTGGGACGAACAAAGCATCCATCCATCCATCCATTCATTTTCTTCCCCTTAATCCATTTCTGGGTCAGAGATGCACCCAGTACACAGAGCACCAGCCCCTCACTGATCCTCTTGCAGGTGGTGAGTCCACAGGTGCTGAAATCTTTCAGCGGGGCTTCAGGCAAAGTGGGTGAAAATGTCTTGCCCAAGGACACAACAACAGCAGTCATCAGTCGGAGTCTTGAAGTAGGTCCTATGGTGGCCTCAAACCCATGACCTTCAGGCCCAAAGACCAATGTCTACAAACTGAGCCACTGTCGCTGTTGAATAAAGCGTCTCTTCATCTTAGTCTGAATTACAGATTCTAGAAAGAGAAAGAGGTGGATTTTTGGCAAGAACCAGTTTTCTAGATTAATTTAATTGTGCTTTCATTGGATGTGTTTGAAAATAAAATTTAAGGATCCCAGACTTATTGACTCGCTATTACTGCAAAGTCAGTGTGGTTGAAGAAGAAATATTATGCGTAATTTTTTGGCAATAAAAGATTATTATGATTTCATTTAATGTTTTAGAATGTGAAAATCATATCTTCAGTAAAGAAATATGGTGAAATATGTAAGAACGGCAAAACGTGCGTCTTGCCTGTAACTCCCTATGCTGCCACCAGAGGGAGGAGTTGAATCATTTTACATGCAATTAGAAATTATTTTATTTTATTTGAGAAATTACCAAAACTCATGTATACACCCTGGTTCAATTCCACCTCCAGGGCTTTTTGAGTGGGGCTTGCATTTTCTCCCCGTGTCTGTCTAGGCTTCCTCCGGGCGCTCCGGTTTCCCCCACCACTCAGAATATGTGCAATAGTCAGTGGTGTGTGGAGTGAGTGGAAGATTATCACAATTCTAAAAAAGCTTTGTGTGAGCTTGCTCTGTGAAATACGCTATATAAATAAAGTTTACGTTCTTACACGATTGTGCCAGAAGTTCCTGATGTCAGCGTGAATGGATCTAAAACCAACACCGGGTCTGGGTCTGATGAGGGAACAATGTTGTAGCTTGAAGAAAAGAGACACTTTTTTGCCGTCACCATCTGTATCTGGTTTTGAATGTTATGGTGTTACTTAAAACAAAGCAATGTTGGAGCAATTTAAATATTAAGAGGAGAAATTTTTTAGTCTGAACTTGTAAATGAGCAATTTCCCTTGTCAAAGCCTGTCATCTTTTAAAAGCTAAGTAGAGCTGTTCTTGGCTCGTACTGGGATGGGAGACCGTTGGGAATACCACAGTCTCTTAATCATTTTGGCTTTTACAATGACAGTGTAGGATGTGTAAGCAAATCACACAAAACAAGACTAATACATTTTCTTCAAAAACAACCCCGACTATGTTCTTTTCCCAACTGATTGTTTGTATTGGATTCATTATCAGTCTTATTGTGGACAGAGTCCACAGCTGTCAGTGTGTGCAGTAAACACATGTGTTCTTTGAGTGTTCTGACAGTGAAACAGTCCAGACTTTTCATTCCGAGTCCGAGTGTTTCATTTTAACCCAACTTTTATAGAAAAACATGACATCACAATCACAGTGACATGTTTCAAGTCATTTTTCTGTTGTTTTGCTCATAGAAAATGTTGAAATTCCTTCAGGGACTCACCGATTTGATCATCCACCCATCCATTTTCTACCATTTCATCCGTTGCCCAATATGATATTAGTCTCAGATTTTAATCTTTCAGGATGTGTCTTGATGTAATGAGACCGTGGTTACAAAACGTCATGGTTTTACTCATACAAGTTGTCTAGTTAGTGAATTAAGAGTACAAAATCTGTTAAAGAATGCATGGGTTTTATCTAATGAGACTACGATTGATAATTGATATTCTAGAGCACGAAAAGATGCCTTTACTCTTTATACAGTGGTGATAAAATACTCCTGTAGTTGCTTCTGATCTGTGTCGTTGGCCCCTCTGAAGTTGTAATCTTTTGAAGCTGTAACATGTGCAAAATAATCAAAGTTGACCTTGACCACCGGTAATCACACACACACACAGACACTGGAAAACCTTTGGACCCATTTCGTAACGAGTAAAATGTGATTTGAGTTGAATACGTCTTTGTCGTGTATCAACATCTGTCTTTTCTTTTCTTTCTCCTTTGTTCCTTCACATATTTGTAATTGCAATGTTATCGATTGAAATAAATAGTTTTTCCGATTCAGTTGTCTGGCTGTAATGCAGTGCACTTCACCCACCCGTGTATCGTAAGTACTTTTCTGGGGGTGATGGTCACATGTATGAGTCCATGGAATAAAATGTCAACAACAACATGCCCTCTAGAGATCAAATGAATGCCATATTGTGGAATATTGTAGCTGAAATATTACGTTTCTATCGGAACAAGCAGAAATAGGTTCTTTTCCAGGCCAAGTTTGAGCCAGGTTTGAGTAGTTGACCACTCATCCACTGCAAAAAAAAGACTTCCCATGGTCCTATTTTAAAGCACAATGTAAATGTGTAATTCTGGTTTTGTCTTTTCCAGACCTTGTTCTCGCAGTTCGGAGCTTCTCGAGGTGACGGCACAGTGCCATCTGGACCAAATCGCAAAGGCTCCATCACCCGAGGAGATGTGTTTTTGGTTGACGAAGACACCGACCTCATTGACCCGTTCTTCCAGCACGGTGGAATCCTGAACCCGGACCGGAAACCGTCTCGCAACGACCAGAAGATCCAGCAGAAGGAAAAGCCCGAACTCTCCAAAGACCTCGAGGAAAACATCACCACGGATAAACGCACGGACGCTGGTGGTAGGAATATCCCTTTGTTCCCTGGAAAACCTTCGGACGGCATAATTGATTTGGATTCGGGAGTTGAGCCCAAGAAGCCGACCGTCACGCCAAAGTCTCCGGTCAAACCCAGCCCTTCGCTCTTGGACCAGAGGGTGAAGGAGCAGCCCCTGGTGGTCAGTCCCAGAGAAGGAGACCAGGTGCTGGGGTCCGATGGGAGATGGTACAAGCTCCAGAGAGGACCCAAAGGCCGAATGGGACCTCCCGGACCTGAGGTGAGTCTGTTTCTTATTGATACTCTTCTGCATTGTGTTTGTACATTGGATTATCGCACAATATGGTCATTCCAAATTGGATATTGGGGGCGGTGGGGGGAAGATGGCTGCTCCGTCAACAAAGACACAGCATTGGTGTTTCAACAGGGGCTTCAGGCAAAGTGGGGTTTTGGACACAACGCCAGCAGATATCAGTGGGAGCTGATGACATGGGATCAAACCCATGTCCATTATGTTCAAAGGTCTTACATCTTTAGGAGTATTTCTTATTTCCTCCCTGCTAATCCATACTTAATTCTAAATATAAAAAAATCTTGTCGTAAATTCTACTCCAAACTAATTTTTATGTATGCAGTAAGTTGTCTGAGTTATTCTCTTTATCCATACGTACCGCTCTTGAAGTCGTCTGAAATATGCTCTTAGAAAAATAACACAATTGCTAACAAAAATTGCTTCACTATCTCAATATCTTCCACAAAAACTACAATTCAAATTAATATTATTTTTTGCCAAAATCAAGCAGTCCTGGCTTGAAACATCCCTGTACAGAAAGTAGAAGCACTCTCTACTGCCCCCTGCTGCTGTAGACACGCACAACTCATTTCAACAGTGGAAGAGAACAGTTTCTATATTTATAATTGTCTGATTCTGGTCTGATTTACAGTGGGTACCAAACTGTTTTTGATATAGTCATTATGTCAGGCCTTCTTCTCCCTGCCATAATCCTCTTAATGGAAAACATATTTGCTAAAAGATTGTGGTCCTCGCCGCTTCAGACATCACACATCTGCTCCACACTGAGTCATGCAGTCACAGCACGACTCAGCACTTTCCCAGATTAAAGCCACTTGTTCTGACACGAAGAAAACATCCTGTAAAACCTCTGTATCTTCTGAGATTATCTCTTTGTGGCTCCGGTTTGTCACACTGATAAAAGGCATTAGCTCAGTACGGCCACATCTACTCACAAAGTCATCTGCTTTTCATTGTGTGGTCTTTGTGGTTCACCGGAACGTTTACAGATAGAAGCAGAGACTGAGCTGTGTGTTTTACATCAGTATCTTTATATTCTGGCTGTCCTGCACCACACAGCCTCAGTCCTGGATCCACAGCCTCAGTCCTAGATCTACAGCCTCAGTTCTGGATCTACAGCCTCAGTCCTGGATCCACAGCCTCAGTCCTAGATCTACAGCCTCAGTTCTGGATCTACAGCCTCAGTCCTAGATCTACAGCCTCAGTCCTGGATCCACAGCCTCAGTCCTAGATCTACAGCCTCAGTTCTGGATCCACAGCCTCAGTCCTAGATCTACAGCCTCAGTTCTGGATCTACAGCCTCAGTCCTGGATCCACAGCCTCAGTCCTAGATCTACAGCCTCAGTCCTGGATCTACAGCCTCAGTCCTGGATCCACAGCCTCAGTCAGGTTTACCGCTTTTTTCCCACTAGGTTTTTAGAGTGGTTCCTTGTGAGGATCCAGGACATTTATATTTATGGACAGTGGTCATTCCTATGGACCAATGGATCCTATGTGTTTGATAGCATTTCCTGTGTTTAAACTTTCTGATCTGTAGTTGAGAAATCGACAACCTGGTTGATACACAAACACTTTGAATTGATTATAGTATATCATACTATAGCCAGTATTAAACATTTAATTTGGTAATCAATTAATTGCCTAAACCTTTCGATTAATTTTCCAGTTGTTTGATCCCAAAAGCTCTGTGAAAATGAGATTTTGACCCAAAAAAATAAATGTTTGTTTATCCTCATAGGGACCCGTATCCTCTGCACTTGACCCATCCTGCAAAGCCTCTAGGGCCTTGGTCAGGAGCAGTGCTCGCTGTGGTACAGCGCCCAGGGACCATCTCCAGCTGTTGATACTCTGCTATGTCATCATTACGCATGATTGTGCATGTTTATAGTGATGCAACTATATATACTATATAAAGTATATAACTATATATAGTTAAAGAAATCACTGCTAAAAAAGCTTACATTTTTAACCTTTGAAATTGGGTTTGAGGGTTAGCCAGTATTTAGCCAGGAAAGTTCAACTGACATTTGACAATATTATTTCAGGTGAGTCCTGGCCCCAGAAAGAGGGTGTTATGGGGGACTACTGTACTTGTTTTTAGTTGAGGAAACCTACGCAGACACGGGGAGAACATGCAAACTCCACACAGAATCAGGGGTTTATTTCTGTATCAAAAGAAGACACTGTGACAGACATGACTTCCATGGATCATTGAGTGGTGCTGTTAGAAAGTCTTCAAAAAGTCTGGAAATGCTTTTTACAAGAGCAAGGCGTACTCATTCCCACTATAAGCTGAATCCAGATGGTCCAGGTTACAGCTCCTAGTCCCTCTCTCCTGCACCATGTGAGCAGCTGACAGCTATGAGTTAGAAGCAAGATCTGGCCTTTCTGATCAGCTGTACACGTTTTGATGCTGTACAGTTTTTTCATGTTTCAATGTATTGTTCTACACCCCTAAATCACAACAGAAGTCGTCTCAGAGGATTCACCAAAACAAATAAAAAACAGAAAATCAAACAGTTTGAACTCAGGGAATGCAGTAATACCAAACACATAGGATCCAGTGGTCCATAGGGAGCAGGATGACCACTGTCGCTGACGCTGGAAACTTCCATGCAGTGACATCCAATAATTAATGTTTGATGTACATTGAACTCTAAATAAAGAAACACTCAACTCAACTCTCTTGCATCAGCAATTAACGACTCAAGAAAAAAAAAACGGTTGCAAACTTCAGGAAGGCCCATATTGAGTCATACAGTCTAGTTGAACATTTGACCCACTAAAGCACAGTCTATGCATACTTCTGGTTGAACTTTTTAGCAGTTGACTATCGCTTGTGTTCAAATAAAAGGAGAGAAACAATTTGGTTGATGCCACAGTGCATTGTGGGATGGCTCGTGACTTTGACCGATTGACATTTTCAGATCCAGCCTGTATTTTTCTGTTGAGATGTTGGATTGTGGTAAGTTTTGTATGATGCTCACATGTTTGGGTTCTCTGCAGGGCTGTCCTGGAGAGATGGGGCTGACTGGATTCAAAGGAGATAATGTAAGCACTTTTAATGAACTGCCTTCTGTTTGCTCAAGCCAAATATTTTCCTCAACAATCACAAAGATTAGCCAGAACTTCCATAACAGTTGTGTGAAATCAGTGTCAGTTTACAATATTAGAAAGGCTCTATTAGAAGAAAAAAAAAGGCTTGAAGGGCTTACAACTTGGCCTTTAACAATTTGATTTTTTATTGCCATACAATTCAAGTTTTCCTTCTTCTTGAGCAAATTAACTTGCCTTTTCTTGCCTTGGTAAATATACTGTCAATACCAAAACATGTTGAAGATTTTAGTTGGATGAATACAACTTTTTTATTCTGATTTTCAAAACCAGAAAACAGAAGTGAACATAACTTGAATATTCACACCTAATACTCTCTCTCTTTTATTTTTGTTTTAGGGTAAACCTGGTCCGGATGGAAAACCCGGGCGCAGAGGAGATCCAGGACTTCCAGGACCGGCCGGTTTGCCCACGGTCTACCTGTGGAGAAACACCGCAGAGGAGTGGGCCGCCTTCCAGGTCATTTCAACCCTCTCTAGGTTTACATGAAGCCAGGTTTTAATCTTCCTTGTTTGACTATTGTAAAATTATGAACTTATCTCTAGTAAGATCTAGTAAAGCATGAAATGATAGTGATTGGTTCAAGTGAATGTCGGATATGGTTTGGTGCTTGGAACTAAAATGCAGCTTGATGTTTGCAGGGGTAAAAAACTGTATTTATACTGTATCTGTATTTGTTTAATAAAAGAGCACACAGAGCAGATGTACAAGAATTAGATGAAAGAATAAAAATAAATAAACAGTCCATTAATATTGTGGGAATAAATTAGTTAGAGTTAGTTGTTTTGTGCAAAAGGTACTCACTATTGCACCAACCACTTACTATAGATCAAGGGTCTCCAACCTGTTTCCCACAAAAAGCTACTCGCATCAATTGTTTCTTTTAATGTTTAATGTTTCTTTTCCTTGAGTTTCCTTCTGTAGGAACTTTGCCTTGTCTTGCCAACCATCTTTAACGCAAAATGAAAGATGTATAAAAGGTGCAGGCATAGCAAACTTATTGAAATATTCTTTGAAATGTCTGAATCTTTTGAGGAGCTACTTGGAAGCGGCTGGTGAGATTCTGGTAGCGCTCCTGAGATACTGGTTGGAGACCACTGATAAAGATTATCAGATGAGTGGTTATGGTGAGGAGGACGTGTGTGATGGGAGGAGGAGGGTTGCTGCACGAGCTGTTGTTGCATGAACATGACCAACTGTTTAAATGCAGCGGGTGAAGCACTTGCTGAAGAACAAAGGCACAAGTGTGTCATAGAGGGAGGCGGGCCACAAGGAGAAGAGTCCGAACCTTTTCGATAGCTCCATAAACATACAGGATTCTCATGGATTTTATGACGTTTTGTGAAACTACAGCATTGGCCTGACAAGTGTGTTGCAATGTTATCTTTTAAAGCTTTCGATAATTGAAATGGCATGTCGAAAATCCATGTGGACCAAAAGTGGCCCTAAACCTGTCCGTTCTGTCATCGCAGTTTGGCCATTTAACAGTGAGACTGCAGCAGACAGCAGTGAATGGGGTTAAAGAGATCTAATATTTGAACAGGCTTTTGTGAGCTCTCTGTCCTCTCAACGCGTTATTCTCATGTTTATGTGGGATTTTCCAGCCACATGTTGTGTTTTTGATGACTGTAGATGGAGGTGCAGTACAAGGCGATTTTGTAGCAGCCACATGTCAAGAACAAAAGACAAATTGTGGTTTATGAATATGATTTCTTAGAAAGATGGCTTTAGACCTAATAGTGTAGAAAGATTATATTTCACAATGTAAAACTTCAAAGTGTGCATAAAACACAAGTCTGTATTAAACGATTTTGTCTTGGCCTCAAGAAAATCACACAATTAAAGCCTCATTCCCACTGCGCAGAATCTATATTTCCTTTGGCATGTCAATACAACCAACACTCCTACCAAATACAGCTATAATTAGACAGCAATTAAATCCAACTGTGTTGAGGCTTTGCTCACATGTGGTTCACGTGAAGAACGTTTATACAACTACACATAAGTCACACGAGGGACAGTACTTTGCAGAGCCATGGAGCCCAGTTTGGGTGAGTGAAGCTCTCACCATCGAGGTTTGGATTGTTGGATTCCTGCTGGACTCTCTCTGGTCTCTCTCTCTGGACTCTCTCTCTCTCTGGTCTCTCTCTCTATCTCTCTCTCTCTCTCTCTCTCTCTCTCTATCTCTCTCGCTCTCTCTGGTCTCTCTCTCTCTCTCTATCTCTCTCTATGGTCTCTCTCTCTCTCTCTCTGGTCCCTCTCTACGGTCTCTCTCTCTCTCTCTGGTCCCTCTCTGGTCTCTCTCTAGTCTCTTTCTCTGGACCCTCTCTCTCTAGTCCCTCTCTTTAGTCTCTCTCTGGTCTCTCTCTCTGGTCCCCTAATTCTCCCACTTTTATTTTGGCACGTTCCAGTTTAGCAATTTCCCATTAATTTTCAACTAAATTTATTATTTCATATTCGGAAACAAGAAACGACTAAAAGTAAAATTTGCACCTACGGCTGAAGGAAATCAGGCCCAATTTTTCTACACATTCAGAAGAACACACAACATTAATCTTAGTCTGATTAAATCTCTTGGTTTTTGTGGCCAGCTGTGTACTGTAACTCTTTCCGTGCGTTTATGACGGACTTGTGTAGATTAGTAAAACGTGCCAGCCCGATATAAATCAGTCGTGTTTGTACTTTGAAGCTGACATGTCCCACTGCTTCGGCTCGCCAAATACTCTTTCATGTTTTACTCAATGAGGTGCAGAGGAAACGTGCACTTTCACATTCAGATGCGCGGATCTCAATATGTACTCTACAGTTACTGGAGTTTTGAACAGAGAAACCTATGGATGCATATCATAAAGCTGGTTTCTCTTTTGTTGAAGTTGAAGACTGTAGTTTGTAGAGCCAGGACTGAGGCTGTAAATCCAGGACCAGGACTGAGGCTTTAGATCCAGGACTGCAGCTGTTAATCTAGGACTGAGGCCTTAGATCCAGGACTGAGGCTGTAGATTCTGGACAGAGGCTTTAGATCTAGGACTGAGGCTTTAGATCTAGGACTGAGGCTTTAGATCTAGGACTGAGGCCTTAGATCCAGGACTGAGGCTGTAGATTCTGGACAGAGGCTTTAGATCTAGGACTGAGGCCTTAGATCCAGGACTGAGGCTGTAGATTCTGGACAAAGGCTTTAGATCTAGGACTGAGGCTTTAGATCTAGGACTGAGGCCTTAGATCCAGGACTCAGGCTTTAGATAGAGGACTGAGGCTGAAGATTCTGGACAGAGGCTTTAGATTCAGGAATGAGAATGTAGATCCAGGACTCAAGCTTTAGATAGAGGACTGAGGCTTTAGATCTAGGACTGAGGCTTTAGATCTAGGACTGAGACTTTAGATCTAGGACTGAGGCTTTAGATCTAGGACTGAGGCCTTAGATCCAGGACTCAGGCTTTAGATAGAGGACTGAGGCTGTAGATTCTGGACAGAGGCTTTAGATTCAGGAATGAGAATGTAGATCCAGGACTCAGGCTTTAGATAGAGGACTGAGGCTTTAGATCTAGGACTGAGGCTTTAGATCTAGGTCTGAGGCTTTAGATCTAGGACTGAGGCCTTGGATCCAGGACTGAGGCTTTAGATCTAGGACTGAGGCCTTAGATCTAGGACTGAGGCTTTAGATCTAGGACTGATGTTTTAGATCTAGGACTGAGGTTTTAGATCCAGGACTGAGACAGTAGATCCAGAACTAGCTCCAAGTCTGTTTACCATAGTCACATAGACTCACCAGTGTGAAAATCTTGTATTCATGTGTGTTTTCTTTCCTTCACTTCAGCAAACCAGCTTCTACCAGCTGCTGCGTGCCGGCTGGCCTGTAAGTATCTTCTGTGAGCGCTATGTTGATGCGGAGGTCTGTGTTGATGTAGATGTGTTGTTTGTGAGCTTTCAGAGAGAAGAAGGCCCTGAAGGACCTCCTGGAGAGATGGGCAAGCCTGGCTTTCAGGTCTGACACTGAAGTTTTGATGTTGCCAATGACAGAATCACAGAAATAAATATTTTTTTATTGTTTCAGGGTCCACAAGGTGAAGCTGGAGAGCGAGGGCACCCGGGAATTCCAGGAGAAATGGTCAGTGCGGTTTTCCATAACAAAAAAAAAAATGTTTCAATGTTCTGCCAAAATTTGAACACTATGTTATAACATTGTTCTTCTTCATAAATAGACCTTTGTTTTAGCTCCAAGCATGCTAATATTGAGAAGTTCGGGCACAAATCATCACAAATACGGCCTTTACAGCTACATTTTTGTTCCATCCTCACTCTATGATGTCATGTGAATTTTCTAGTTTTGGATGATTGGTCCCCAAATCTATGCGAACATTTCAACCCGAGTTTCCATGCTGTTGAGCATCCATCCATCCATCCATTTTCTTCCCCTTAATCCATTTCTGGGTCGGGGGGGCGGCAGTCAGAGCTGCACCCAGTACACAGAGCACCAGCCCCTCACTGATCCTCCTGCAGGTGGTGAGTCCACAGGAGCTGAGATCTTTCAGTGGGGGCTTTGGGCAAAGTAGGGTTAAGTGTCTTGCCCAAGGACACAACGTCTTGTTGCTGTTGAGCAACAAGACATTATTCGAGCGCACACGGCATCATGGGAATTTCCAGGCAAGATTGTAGTGTGGATGGATCTAAAAACAGCCAAAGTAGATTGTTCCATAGTACGTCTCCTTTAAATTATTAAATCGTAATAAAAATGGAGTATCATCTGTATTTAAAATTTTGTTGAAAATGGCCGGAGCAGTCTGAACTTGTGCAAACTCAGTACAATTAGTTTTCTGTGACGTATTCTTTGCATATTTACATTGAATTAGGCTTCGTCTCTGTGTTTGAAAGAACTGCTGTAAACATAAGTCTGTGTCTTAGTATGGAACACACACGTCAAATCCATTCAGTGTAGAAGAGATAAACAGAACGCACCTGTTTAAATCATGTATCTGTAGTTTATGCCCAAAGAAAATCGTGTTTTTCTGCCTGTTTTAGGAAGAATGACTTTTTCTCAGGAAATGGCAGAGACATAAGTATTGATACAAAGGGGATTGTTTAAAGTCTTGCTGTTGTCTTTTTCCTAGAAGATCTAAAGCCCTACTGCTCGGCTCTTCTCTGCCTGGTTGTGTTTCCATTTGGCTTTAGTATCTGATTCCATATCCTGGCAACCTACCCACAAAAAATAGTACCCCGGGATATTCCTTGATAACCATGGCTTCCAGTCAATCTCTGTTAGTTAGAACACTTTAGTTCCAGCTCGGCCTGAATAGAACCAGGTACATACTGGTTCAACAGGGCCAGTGGAAATACTCCTAGTCGGTGTAGAGTGGAGTAGAGTAGGGCCGAGTAGAGTAAAGAAGGGCTAAGTGGGGCTGGTGGAAACGGGGCTTTATTGCTGACACAGGCATATGGTCCTTTTGTGTTCCTTTTGGCCCTAATGTCGCACTGCAAACCTATATGCACATCTCACCAGCACTAAACTCAAATATAGACGCCACCTAGATGATTTTTAAGATACTATAAGTGCCTCTTTATTTGCCCCACTGTGGGGACGTAAAAAGGATTACATCGAGGGATTACAGCGACACGCAGAGACATATAAGGATATCACAGTTTTGATACTGTGTTTGTAATCAAGGAGAAAGACATTCATTTGCTCCCCGTGGACCAATTTCTGCTACTGTATGTGTTTGTTATTATTGCATTTCCTGTGTTCGAACTGTTCTCTGATCTGCTGTTGCTGAATTGACAACTTTATTAAGTCCTCCGAGACAACTGCTGGTGTGACTTAGAGTTACTCACAACTAAATTGAATTTAATTAAATAGACCAGTCTGAATAGATGTGTTTCAGACGTGCTGCTCAGCTTATCTACTGTGACAATCAGTGGCTGCTCCTATTTCTGTTCAACACTGCCCCCTACTGCCAGTGTTGAGTTGAATTCATAACAAAAATAACTAGTCTCTGTAACGTTTGGTTTTGAAGTCAGCTTTATATAAAACAATACAATGTTAAAAATACAAATATACAATGGCACATGTGTTTGGTTCTCCCACAGTTTACAAGCTAAGCGTTTTAGTCAAACACATTCATCTGTGTGTGATGATGAGGAGCTCTCTGAACCGGGAATTAAACTCATAGGAGAATTTCAAATGACTGAAATACAGTACTCTGGTGATTCACAATTTTTTTTTGTTCTCCTTGTAACTATTATAAATATGGAAGTAAACCTTTTTAGAGTAATTTTGGCAACACTGCACTGCCCTCTGCTGTCAATGGGTGGCACTGCGCCCTGAGTCATTCACTCTGAGTCAAATGAAGTGATGTCTAGTGTTGGGTAATATACTCTAAAATTAAATATATTTAAAGTACTAGTTACTGGGATGAAAACCTTGTACTATAATATGTATGGCTTTTAAAATTTACACTATTTTGAGTTACCCCAATTCAATGCTCAATTAAGTTGAATCAAATTTTATCAAATACTGCTGCTAATTAACCTGCAGTATATTAATATTGTATATGAATTAGTTATATTAATGAGAATGATCTTTTATCTTTGTTCTGTATTTTTTGTGAACAGTGCCTTTCCTCCCATCCTCTTAAGTGAGCCCTACATGTATCATGTCTCTTCTGTAACTTCTCAGGGGGAGAGAGGTCCCAGAGGAGGCCCAGGCCCTCGCGGACCTCCTGGACGTGACGGAGCAGACGGGGAGGACGGCCTGACTGGGCCCCCAGGAGCTCCGGGACCCATGGTTAGACTCTGCACTTGCACTGACGTTTGGGTCCATAAACTTTCACAATTCTATTACAATAATAAATGATAAACTAGCCTCTTGATATGCGCACATATCACCATCATGTCACCATCAGGACCATAGAGGGTCTAAGATGAAGACACTGGAATGACAGATACTGGGATTGCACTTTTATACCTTTTTTCCATTAAAATCACTAATTTATAGTCATTTACTTTTGGCACAATGTCGAGACCAGTGGTTTCAAATCCAAATCTTCACCCACTTCACCCACTTTGTCTAGAATGAGTCTTTTGTGCGTATGTGTGTGTGTGTGTGTGTGTGTGTGTGTGTGTGTGTGTGTGTGTGTGTGTGTGTGTGTGTGAATGGCCCTATATAACAGTGCTATTAAACTGAGGTATTATAGAAATAAGATTGTACTTTCTGTAGTTGTGTACAAACAGCACACAAGGAGGACCTCCAGATGATCTAGTTTAGCATATTCTTAATATTTAATGATCCTAAAGCTGGGTACATAACTATCAAATGATTAGAACTGTGTTATAAAATCCATATAACCACTTACAGTATTTGCCCTCAAAACTGTTTTCTTCTATCACAGTGTATCATCAGTGTATGTTTGGCCTCTGTCACATTTTTACATCAGGTTTTTTAGACAGAAAAGTGAAAAAGACATGTCCACCCTCAATCAACCCAATCCGCTCTCAGTCCAAAGCATAAAATAGTGACTCACAGAAAGGGGTTTAATTGACCCCAAACCTGTGAAGAACAGTGTGTCACCAGTTCTTGTCCTGATGTGGGTTGTGTTTGTTCTCAGGGCATGTGGGGCTACAGAGGAGAGCGCGGAGCCAAAGGAGAGGACGGCGATGAGGTGAGAGCTGCACGAGACTTCTGCTGGATATGGGTCTTTTACACTGTCCAACTGTGGGGAGCAGATCCGTATTTCTATGTCGGCCCCGCTGAAGTTTCTCACTTTTTTCGTTCATTGCTGATGTAGGAGGGTCTAAGGACAGTGAGAATGTGAGAAACCTTGGCCCATATTGAGAGAGGCATCCGCTGCAGATCCCTGTTTGCTGTACTGTAGATCCAGGACTACAAATCTCAGTAAATCTTGTAAATTGTTACGAAATTTTCTTTTTTTGCCTAGGGTCTTATGGGCATTACTGGAGAAAGAGGAGACGCTGGTGAACCCGGAGAGAAGGTACGTTCAGTCGTGGGCTTTGGGTAATCTGCGGTAAGGAGGACACTATATATGAGCTTTCGTTTTCATTATATATGGTAAATATTGCTTTCGATTCATCTGCTGTGAGATGTTGCCCCTTGGTATATGCCTTTTCACCCACACCCCCAATCTTTGTGCTAGAGTTAGTCCATCCATCCATCCATCCATTTTCTTCCGCTTTATCCGTTGCCGGGTCGCGGGGGCAGCAGTCTAAGCAGAGACGCCCAGACTTCCCTATCCACACACACTTCCTCCAGCTCGTCCGGGGGGACCCCAAGGCGTTCCCAGGCCAGCTGAGAGACATAGTCCCTCCAGCGTGTCCTTGGTCTTCCGCGGGGCCTCCTCCCGGTGGGACGTGCCCGGAACACCTCCCCAGGGAGGCGTCCAGGAGGCATCCGGAACAGATGCCCGAGCCACCTCAACTGGTTCCTCTCGACGTGGAGAAGCAGCGGCTCTACTCCGAGCTCCTCCCGTGTGACTGAGCTCCTCACCCTATCTCTAAGGGAGCGCCCAGCCACTCTGCGGAGGAAGCTCATTTCGACCGCTTGTATCCGCGATCTCGTTCTTTCGGTCATTACCCAAAGCTCATGACCATAGGTGAGGGAGGGAACGAAGATTGACCGGTAAATCGAGAGCTTTGCCTTTCGGCTCAGCTCCCTCTTTACCACAACGGTCCGATACAGCGACCGCATCACTGCGCACGCTGCACCGATCCGCCTGTCAATCTCACGCTCCATTCTTCCCTCACTCGTGAACAAGACCCCGAGATACTTGAACTCCTCCACTTGAGGAAGGACCTCTCCACCCACCTGAAGAGGGCAGGGCACCTTTTTCCGGTCGAGCACCATGGCCTCAGATTTGGAGGTGCTGATTCTCATCCCAGCCGCTTCACACTCGGCCGCAAACCGTCCCAGTGCATGCTGCAGGTCCTGGTTCGTTGGAGCCAACAGGACAACATCGTCCGCAAACAGCAGAGATGAAATCCTGTGGTCCCCGAACCGGACCCCCTCCGACCCCTGGCTGCGCCTAGATATTCTGTCCATAAATACAGTGAACAGAACCGGTGACAAAGGGCAGCCCTGTCGGAGGCCAACATTCACCGGGAACAGGTCTGACTTACTGCCGGCAATGCGAACACAGCTCTGGCTCTGGTCGTACAGGGACCGGATGGCCCTCAGCAGAGGACCCCCGACCCCGTACTCCCGGAGAACCCCCCAAAGGACACCCCGGGGAACACAGTCGAACGCCTTCTCCAAATCCACAAAGCACATGTGGACAGGTTGGGCGAACTCCCATGAACCCTCGAGTATCCGATGGAGAGTATAGAGCTGGTCCAGTGTTCCGCGACCGGGACGAAAACCACACTGCTCCTCCTGGATCCGAGATTCGACCATCGGCCGTAGCCTCCTCTCCAGTACCTTGGAGTAAACCTTACCAGGGAGGCTGAGGAGTGTGATCCCACGATAATTGGAACACACCCTCCGGTCCCCCTTCTTGTAGAGAGGGACCACCACCCCGGTCTGCCACTCCATTGGCACTGCCCCCGATCGCCACGCGATGTTGCAGAGACGTGTCAGCCAAGACAGTCCTACAACATCCAGAGACTTTAGATAATCAGGGCGGATCTCATCCACACCCGGAGCCTTGCCACCATGGAGGCTACCAACCACCTTGGTGACCTCAGCCAGGGAGATGGATGTATCCGCCCCAACATCCTCAGCCTCTGCCTCTGAAACAGAGGACGTGACGGGGGGATTGAGGAGAACCTCAAAGTATTCCTTCCACCGCCCGACAATATCCCCCGTCGAGGTCAGCAGCTCTCCACCCGCACCGTACATGGTGTTGGCAAAGAACTGCTTCCCCCTCCTGAGGCGCCGGACGGTTTGCCAGAATTTCTTCGAGGCCGACCGATAGTCATGCTCCATGGACTCTCCGAACTCCTCCCAGTCCCGGGTTTTTGCCTCTGCAACAGCCCGGGCCGCGGCACGCTTGGCCTGCCGGTACTGGACAGCTGCCTCAGGAGTCCCCCGAACCATCATGGCTCGATAGGACTCCTTCTTCAGCCTGACAGCATCCCTTACTGCCGGTGTCCACCACCGGGTTCGGGGATTGCCGCCGGGACCAGCACCAGAGACCTTGCGACCACAGCTACGAGCCGCCGCATCGGCGATTGAGGCAGAGAACATGGTCCACTCGGACTCCATGTCCCCCTCCTCCACCGGGACCTGGGAGAAACTCTCCCGGAGGTGTGAGTTGAAAGTCCGTCTGACAGGGGGCTCAGCGAGACGTTCCCAGCAGACCCTCACTATACGCTTGGGTCTGCCAGGTCTGACCGGCTTCTTCCCCTGCCAGCGGATCCAACTCACGACCAGGTGATGATCGGTTGACAGCTCCGCCCCTCTCTTTACCCGAGTGTCCGAGACACGCGGTCGAAGGTCAGATGATACGACAACAAAGTCGATCATCGACCTCCGGCCTAGGGTGTCCTGGTGCCACGTGCACTGGTGGACACCCTTGTGCTCGAACATGGTGTTCGTGATGGACAAACTGTGACTGGCACAGAAGTCCAACAACTGAACACCGCTCGGGTTCAGGTCAGGGGGGCCGCTCTTCCCGATCACCCCTCTCCAAGTGTCACTGGCGTTTCCCACATGGGCGTTGAAGTCCCCCAGGAGAATAACGGAGTCCCCGGGCGGTGCACCGTCCAGTACCCCTCCCAAGGACTCCAAGAAGGCCGGGTACTCTGCACTGCCGTTAGGCCCGTAGGCCGTCACAACAGTGAGAGACTTGTCCCCCACCCGGAGGCGGAGGGACGCGACCCTCTCATTCACCCTCTCAGAGTTAGTCCTGTTCGGTCTAAAAAATAAAAGGACAGTGGTGATGATCCTGGAGACTCAACATTCAACTACATTTATGGACATTTATCAAAACTTATGGACATTGGTCCTCTGCCCTTAATGGACCAATACCAATGTGTTTGAACTGTTTGATTGTCTGATCTGTGATGGCGAATTCAACGGTTGTGTAAAGTCCTCCGTGATAACTTCTGTTGTGATTTAGGGCTATACAAGTAAAACACAATCTGAGCTATTTTATCAACTGTTCTTATATTTTCAGGGCTCCATCGGTTTCCCAGGACCTGTCGGCTCAATGGGACCACCAGTAAGTTTAATTTCTACTGCACAATTCGCCACATTTTAATCTTGTCAGCATAAATAAGGACCCTTATTTGTCCCACAGTGGGGAAATTTTGGTGTTGTATCCCCCATAAAAGACAGTAGTAGTAGTAGTAGCTCACAAGGAGAACAGATAAGTTGCTGTGAATACTTTTTACTTAGGTCTAACTACAAGCATGTGATTTGGACTTACTTTTTATGTCAATTAGTAACCTCCTGTACCGCTTAGTAATGAGATTTTGCCTCATGCCTAAGTCACCCCATGTATTTGAATGGCCTTTTGGTCTTGTGCTTCTTCAGGGGCCCCGGGGAGTGAGAGGAGCTGACGGACTCTGGGGACCGTTCGGACCTGCTGTAAGCACAGCTCTATCTGCATATGCATGAAATCTGTAACTCTGTATCAAAATATTTACTAAATCCTCTCAATTATGTTTATATTCTTATCATTCATGGTTTGTCTGTTCTCAGGGGGAGCCGGGGCTGGATGGAGCTCTGGGTTTACCAGGACCACCAGTACGTCTAACTCTCACATCTACAGTGGAAAAACAGAATTCACCAATTAATTATTTGACATAGCACTTAAATATGTGTGTTTTCATTGTTTTAAAGTGAGAGAAAGACAAAAAACTCATAGAAGAATTTGGAACACTGATTTTTTTAAGCCTTATCAAAAGTATCCATCCATTTACTTCCGTTTTATCCATTTCTGGGTAGAGCACCAGCCTTATCAAAAGTCATGGAGTAAATTATAAAAAGACCTGTCTGTGTTTCCAGGGAGGAGCTGGTTTGACTGGACAAGTTGGAGCGCAAGGAGTCAATGGTACAAGGGTGAGAGGACTTGTTTTGAATCATATTTAGAGAAATGTCTAAATGAAGACACGGTGCAGAAATACTTTTGTGTGGTTAGGCTTAAAGAAGAAATACTGATACTTATTTTTAGCCATCCAAAATGACAATGAGCCTCTTATCTTTGTCATTTCATGATTTAGAATGTGAAATAATATCTTAGAAAAAATATAGTGAAACGTGTATGAAGGCTAAAAAGGCTTTCTTCCTGTAACTCCCCGTGCGACCACAAGAGGGAGAAGGATAATTTGTTTTTTTTACTAATTTGAAAATGATAAAATAAAAATAGTCACAATATAACGGCACGGTGGCTGAGTGGATAGCACTCTCGCCTCTCAGCAAGAAGGTCCTAGGTTTGATTCCCGGTCGGACCAGGGCCTTTCTGAGTGGAGTGAGTGCATGTTCTCCCCGTGTCTGCGTAGGTTTCTTCCGGGTACTGCAGTATGTACCACTCATTATATGTACAATAGATCTGGCATGCGCCTCCTGTTCTGACCCTGCTCCCATCTCTGTGTGGATTGAGAGACAAATGCCCAAAAAATAACAATTGTAAACCGCTTTGTGACTCTGGTCTGTGAAAGACGGTATATAAATAAAGATTACTTACTTTTAAAGAGTGAAATATAGAATCCTTCAGTCGTATGCACAGCTAAACTGAACTTTTTAAATCTGAATTTGAGTAGAAGCCTGTCTCACATTTTCAGGAAGACTCTCAGATGTTTCCAGAAGTGACATCATATACTCACTGTATCTTGACAACGCGCGACTGCACAAACCTTACAAACAGTATCTTTGTGTTTTAGGGCGATGTGGGTCCTGTCGGCAGTGTTGGCTTTCCTGGTCCTCAGGTATTCACTTTATTAGTATTATTATTAACAAGGATCTGTCTGATAAGGAGGCTGAGTTCATGTGACATCACAACAATCCAAAGAGCCTTTAGTTTCACATTGTGGTGGAGGGTAGCTGAAAATATTTCCTGGTAACTATAGTAAGTGTCAAAGGTTATGTGGTTTAACACATTTCTGGAACAATCCACAAAAAATGTCACAAAGTTTCACATCTTCTTTGTCAGTACATACAGTAACAACTACTGTCTCTATCTCTGGTCTCTCTGGTCTCTCTCTGGTCTCTCTGGTCTCTCTCTGGACTCTCTCTGGTCTCTCTCTGGACTCTCTGGTCTCTCTCTGGTCTCTCTGGACTCTCTCTGGTCTGTCTCTGGACTCTCTCTGGTCTCTCTCTGGTCTCTCTCTGGACTCTCTCTGGTCTCTCTCTGGTCTCTCTCTGGACTCTCTGGTCTCTCTTTGGTCTCTCTCTGGACTATCTCTGGTCTCTCTTTGGACTCTCTCTGGTCTCTCTCTGGACTCTCTGGTCTCTCTCTGATCTCTCTCTGGTCTCTCTCTGGACTCTCTCTCGTCTCTCTCTGGACTCTCTGGTCTCTCTCTGATCTCTCTCTGGTTTCTCTCTGGACTCTCTCTGGACTCTCTCTGGTCTCTCTCTGGTCTCTCTCTGGTCTCTCTCTGGACTCTCTCTGGTCTCTCTCTGGACTCTCTGGTCTCTCTCTGGTCTCTCTCTGGTCTCTCTCTGGACTCTCTCTGGACTCTCTCTGGACTCTCTCTGGTCTCTCTCTGGTCTCTCTCTGGACTTTCTGGTCTCTCTCTGATCTCTCTCTGGTTTCTCTCTGGACTCTCTCTGGTCTCTCTCTGGTCTCTCTTTGGTCTCTCTCTGGTCTCTCTGGTCTCTCTCTGGACTCTCTCTGGACTCTCTCTGGTCTCTCTCTGGTCTCTCTATGGACTCTCTCTGGTCTCTCTTTGGACTCTTCTCTTGTTTCTTTCCCTTAGAGTTTGTTGTCACCTTCTTAAATTCTGAAATACAATTCTACAACATGAAGGGCACCTATGGAATGAGTGCCTTGTATGATCTAATATTGGTAGTGTTTGCTGCTTGTGTACAGGGGCCTCCAGGGTTAGATGGACAGTCTGGACCCCCAGGACTCAGAGGAGCTCAAGTAAGAACAGGATCAGACTGTTACCAACTGCAGATATGAATGAACATCTTCTTTTGTGCAGGGAGCCACGGGACTGACCGGTGCAGCTGGGACCAAAGGAGACTCCGTAAGTATTTTGACTCAGAAGCACCAGCCAGTGGCGGCCACACATTGTGCATTGACCTTGTATTTGGGGACACTATGTATAGGTGCAATTCAAACATGGAATGTGCATACAGTCCTCTCACTGAAGTGGTTTTGTGTGTTTTTGTATGTGCTGATACAGTTGTACTGTGGCCTGTTCTGAGCTGAGATAATGTGTCTGTGTTTGTGTCTGCGTTGTGTTTGTGTTCCAGGGGCCTAAGGGTCCTGGTGGTCCTCGGGGAGAGCCTGGGTTTGAGGGGTCCATGGTGAGAGCGACATGACCTCATTCACTGTGATGTCACATGTACAACACACTTACAGGAATAGTAATGCGTAGCGCCCTCTTATGGACAACACAAGTAGTAGCTTTCATTTCAGAAACCACATGTATCCTGTTCTGTGCTTTAGTGAGTGATCCTGACACCAGTAACACCAGGGCATGTGGAGGAGTGGATCATTCATACCTTTTAACTACAGGACAATGTTTATTCCTTCAGACACATTGAGCCCCTTCTGCCTGGGGCAGACTGACTGAGTGTGGCTGCCAATAAACTGTGTGTGTTTCAGGGTCCTCCTGGGACAAAGGGGGAGGCAGGGATTCCTGGATCTCTTGTGAGTAACACACACCTGATGTTTGATTCTTGACATGTTTATAACCTTATGGTTATGCCTGGACACAGGGCCCCCGCGGCCCCGAGGGCGACAAGGGAGACCGAGGAGCCAAAGGAAACCGAGTAAGACATGTTCATAATAAACAGCCGCTTTAAACAATATGACGTATCAATGATCTCTGTCCTCTCAGGGCGAGGCAGGGGCCGCTGGCATCATGGGCCCCCAGGGAGAAAGGGGCCCCTCTGGTTTCCAGGGGTTTCAAGGAACAAAGGGCCAACTAGGACTCCAAGGACCAGAGGTACCTGCAGTCCATATGACATGATGTGAACTGTTGAGTACATGTGAGAGTTAGTGACAGCTGTAAAGAAGAATGTGAACTGTTTGGATTTTTACAGTTTTTCCAGTGTATTTTTAAATTGAGTACTTTTCTTCTGCAGGGCGCCAACGGGGAAGCAGGGGCACAAGGGAACCAGGGAACTCAGGGTCCAAAGGTCTGATTTTTACTGTTGAACCACGCGACGCAGCTGAAATATTATGAATATTTAAATAATGCTTATGTTTAAGCCACATACTGATGAGATTTTCCTTGTTGTAATTTGTGTGGACGCATGAATAAGAACAGACTTTATAAAGACTGAAATTAAATTCAATAGTATTTTAAGTATTTTAAATGTGTGTATTTCAAGAACAATGTTTGTGTGTGAAGGGGAGTAGGGGAGAAGATGGACGCAGCGGTAAACCAGGTCCCAGAGGACACCGGGTACTGTCCTCAAAACCTGATCCTACAAACTTCCATGACAACATTCAACCTTCAACTCAAGTTTGTGTACTTTCTCCACAGGGTCGGTCTGGTCCCAGGGGTCATGCAGGTCAACCAGGCCCATCGGTAACTACTTTAACCTGTTCATTGCAAAATACTAAACATATTTCTATAAAAGTTACAACAGAATTACTGCTTTACTGATTCGAGTCTGCATTTGTGTGAAGGGTTTGCCTGGAGCTGCAGGAGCAGTGGGAGCAGAAGGAAAGCCTGGTACACAGGTTCCCATTCTCTACCATATTCATAATCATTTGTTCATCATATTTTATTTTATTTATTGTATCAAAACATACAACCGTAGTTTAGGCAGATCTCTCCAGCAGAGGGCACTGTCTGATCACCTCACACTCCCCTCAAGTCTTCCTCTGTCTTTACGAAGAAATGCGTGATCTCTGTCATATATTTGAATTGTTATAACAGGAAAATAGACTTTAGCTGGGTTTTAAATTCATAATATATCCAATAATTTATCCACCATTTATTTTATCTCAATATTTAGCTGATTTTTGTTTGTGGGAAACACTTTGGAATCTTTATTTTTTTTGAGTGGATTCATTTTAAGGATATTTTTGGGGAAAATATAGTATCTGTCATCGTATCATAGGAACCTACCCACAACAAAGCAGCATCCATGGAAATTTCTTTCTAACGATGGCTTCCTGCAGTACTCCGGGCTGTTACTGGCGGTAATACCAGCTCGAGTGGAAACACGGTCAATCGGAGTAGAGTAGAGTAGAGTAGAGTAGAGTAGAGTAGATCTGGTGAGTGCATATTACATACTGCTGAGGAAAAAATCAGTTTCACTCTGTTTAGTTTCCTCTCATCCAGGTTTGTTGGAAGCACTAATCAATAAACCAGATGGAGAGCCATGTTAATGCACCAGCCGGCATTTATTGTAGAACACATACAAAAGAATGTGGCCACGGGTCTAATGCAGAGTTCAACCAAGTCTTCCTTCATCTTAGCTGCTAATACAAAGTGTGCACGAACAGATAAAGGTGTTTGTCCTTCTCAGTCTTCATCCGCAGCTGTGTTTCTGTTCTTCACTGCTAATGGATGGGCAGCGTTCCCATTATTAAACAATTTCTGCAATAACTAGTGTCCCCTTTCTAAACGTCAGCAATGCAATGTCCTTGAAAGATGCTCCATATTTCTGCATTTCAACTGAGCTGTTAACTTTCCATGAAGGGAAAATGTATTAAACCAGAGAATCAAACCTGTATCATTGTAAGTATGTGTGTGCCTAATTAACAATCCTGTCCCTTTAAGTACCTACAGTAAGACTCATACTTTTTCCACCTCTATCTATACTTTGGACTATACTCGACTGTTTAAACTTGAACACAAAATGAAAAGACATGCTGTAAACTTCCACAACGATTTTCTTTTTGACCCTCTTTTACTAGGGCCCTGTTTTGTCTTTCTCCTCAGGGCCGGGTTGAACGTGTTGTTGTTGTGTGTTGCAGGGTCCTCCGGGAGCAGGGGGCACCGTGGGCTGTAAGGGGCCAACGGTGAGAGACCAGAGCGAACTCAAATCTCCTGTGTGGGACCAGAGTGAAGGGCACCCAGCCTGTTTAAAGGGGAGGCACTTCAGAGCTGCCATAGTTAGCATGGAGTAAATCTGTGGTGTAGAAACCGGGCTTTGAGGAGCTGTTTGTGATGGAGACGCTGCCTCTAAGCATTTTTTAATAACACATTCCAAGTCACTCCATTCTCCATTCATATTCAGTCGTCTGCCATTGTTGTACTTTGGTGTTTGTTCCATGTGACAATAGACTGTTGTGAAGAAGACATCAGGGATAGCAGTGAGTCAAGTCGAAGACGCTCGAAAGTTTTCCTAATAATAACAATTTGTGTTTTTGTCCCATTTGTTTGTCTTTCAGGGTTTTTCTGGTGTTTCTGGGGAGAGAGGAGCAGACGGGCTGCCTGGATCCCCTGTTAGTAGATACTACATTAAAGGAGATATATCTGAATTAATTATTTCCATCCAAAAAAAATCTCTAATTTTAGCAATTTTTCATCACATTTTGACTGCCTTAAAACAAGATTTGCCAATGGGACAAGCTAAATGATCTTGTTTTAAAAAGATACATGAAATGTCTCTTGGAATGAGAAAAAAAACAGTTCTTGATTTTTTTGTTGTTTCTCAAATTAGGACAAAAAACACTTGATCTTGAGCATTTATTACCTCATATTTGATCACTTTTTGCAGTGTATCTTTCATCTATCTTGTTATCTATATCTCTCTCTATATACTGTAGATATCTATCTATATTTTTATCTATATCTTTATCAATCAAGATTCTATTACATAATTGATACTGCATAGTTGTATTGTAGTTTGAAAGTTAGATACCCGAGCTTTAAAAACGAATGACCGACCGCTGGGCAGACAGCAGCTATGTCAGGGCAGTTATGTCCCGCTCTATCAGCCTCGCTCTGCTCGCCGTTTGCGTTGACGCATTGTCTTTTGTCCGGATCGATATTTTTCTGTTCACTGCTCGTGTTTATTATGTTGACAGGGCCCTCCGGGGAAAGTGGGACCTCCGGGAGCTCCAGGAGCTCCAGGCGAGAGAGTAAGTCAATCCTAGATCACATGACACAAGACACAAGAGCTGCCGATTTCATATCTCCATCTCACGGTCAAGGACAAAGTGGACATTTACCCTCGGCGCTGGACTGTTCTTATCGATCGCTATTTCACAACTCTCATCTTTGTGTCGGCACGCTCAAAAACCAGTGTGACATTGCTGCTGGTTTCGTTGACCAGAAAGGGGTTGAGTTCATGTGACATCCCAACAGTGCAAAGAGCCTATAGTTTAGCATTGTAGTGGAAGGAAGCAAAAAAAAAAAAAAAAAAAAAAAAACTGGTAACGTTGGCGAGTGTCAAAAATTTAGAGCTAGTATTTCTGTAATTCTTGGATCAATCCACAGATTCACATCTTCTTTTTCAGCTCATAACTTTCTGGTCTCTCTGATGTCTCGCTCTGCTCTCTCTCTCCGCTCTCTCTATGGTCTCTCTTTGGTCTTTCTCTGGTCTATCTCTAATCTTTCTCTCTGCTCTCTCTGGTCTCTCTTTGGTCTCTCTCTGGTCCCCTCTGATCTCTGTCTCCGCTCTCTCTCTGATCTCTCTCCTTTCTCTCTCTGGTCTACAGTATCTCTAATCTTTCTCTCTGCTCTCTCTGGTCTCTCTCTGGTCCTCTCTGATCTCTGTCTCCGCTCTCTCTCTGATCTCTCACCTTTCTCTCTCTCTGGTCTCTCTCTGGTCCCCTCTGATCTCTGTCTCCGCTCTCTCTCTGATCTCCTTTCTCTCTCTCTGGTCTCTCTCTGGTCCCCTCTGATCTCTGTCTCCGCTCTCTCTCTGATCTCTCTCCTTTCTCTCTCTCTGGTCTCTCTCTAATTTCTCTCTATGCTCTCTCTCTGATCTCTGTCTCTCTGCTCTCTCCCTGGTCTCTCTTTAATCTCTCAGGCCTCTCTCTGGTCTCTCTCTGATCGTTCTCTCTATATGATTTTGTCCAGTAGAAAGGACTTTCAGGCATAAGAATAATACTGCAGCTTTGTGAATCTATAATCACTATCCAATAATGATCTGGGAAAACAACATGACATTTTCTTTTTTTACCTACTGTAGTTTGAACATTTTCCCGATCTGTTATAAGCAGAAAACAAAAATATGACTCACTGTGAAGACTCCACCTCCTTGTATGTTTATTTCTGTGTTCTTGTCCCCAGGGCTTCACCGGAAAAGCAGGCGTAGAAGGGCCCCAGGGTCCTGTTGGCATGTATGTAAGTGATTACCATTCACCACCGTCACTCACACACACACGGACAGAGCATGTGATCCTGAATAATTACAATCAACTCTAGTTCTTTTGACCTCAGCTGTCGACAGAACAAACCTTTTCAAACAGATTTAAGTTAAACCTTTTGTTCTTTCTATCTACTTTTATTTTATAGTATTTATTTTACTTTATCTAACATTTTTCATTCACACAAAAATCCGTCATATATTTCCTCATTATCTAAAAGACAAAATTGCATAACAGCTACAAAAACAATACCCTTAAAAGAAATTTAAAAGTGAAATATTGTAAAATGATGAGTAAAAATGCGAAAAATAGATTATAAGATTTTTTAAATGGCAGGTTACATTTGTATTTTTAATTATATTTTTACTTTACTTACACTAAGCTCTGAAAATGTCCTATATTTCCTCATTATCTAAAAGACAAATGTGTATAACAGCCACAAAAACAATACCCACTAAAGAAATAAAAAGTAAAATATTGTAAAATGATAATTTATAATGCAAAAAATAGATAGAAATTCCAGGTTGCATTCATATTTTTTTTATTTATTTATTTTTACTTTACTTATATTAAAGTTGAACACTAAAAATGTCCTAATTTCCTCATTATCTTAAAGACACATTTGCGTAAATGCCGCAGGACGCAGAATACAGATATTTTTCTTTCGCCATAAAATAAAGAAAATCATCAATGCAAACACATATAAATTACAAATGAAATGGTAATCAAGTGAAATGTGTTATATTTGTGTCAGGGCATCCAGGGGACAGTGGGGAAGCAAGGACACCCAGGACCCACTGGTGAAAGGGTAAAACGCTCATATTCTTCTCAGTGGTTTAAAAAAAGATCTTCTGAATGAACGATTTGTGCTGCAGGGAGAAGCAGGAGTGCGAGGTTTACCAGGACCTCCGGGAGAGCCAGGACCTCCTGTAAGTGCCTCCTGGTTTAAAGGGGACGTATTATGCTGAATTGAAACTTTTAACCATGTTGCAACATTTTTCCCTCATCAAACACAGACCTAGGGATGTGTTTAGATCAACCCATGCAAACACCCGAAACTTCTGACACTAACATTTAACTCCACCCTTTCTGTCTAAAATCTCAGTCCTGTTTAAGAAAGTATGATGTCATTGTACCACTATGACATCACACTGCTGACGTCACTAGTTTTAGCCTCAATTTGAACATTAGCTAGCTGGAGCCAATTTCCTTAAATGGGCAATTCTTTCAACGGCGTTTGCTAACAGGGGCAGACATGTTGCTAAGGTAGTTGCTAAGGCAAGCTGTAGTTTCCCCAACAAATAAAGGCCTCTGATTGGCTGTTCCTTATATGGCTCATATCTGGATTTACAAACATACGGTCATTTAAAACATTTTTTCAAGCCCAAAATGGAGCCAGAGCGAGTTGGTGCAAAACTTCCCTATTGATCTTCATTGACCTAGTGGTTTAGCATTGTCAATCTGTGTACAGTTTATGGCTCAGAAAACATTTCTGCCTTTTCAAAACAAAAAAATCTCCTCTCTAGTGACAGCAAAGGAAGTTGCAGACAGAACGGATTTTTACCTTTTTTACCTATATTTCCCACCAAAGATATAATTTCCCGTTATAAACATGAAAGGAAACATGAAGTCTCTATTTTTAGTCTCTGTTTTCTATAATCAAATATAATTCATTGTCTGTTTTCTCGTTGAAACTGTTACAGCGTGATCCAGAGAGTAACAGCCACCTCACTCAGAGCCTGTATAAACTGTACTTTACATTCTCAAGTGAAGCCAGATTCATAGAAACGCCTATTGAACCAATATGCCGTGTTTCCACTTGTGCTTTCCACAGCATGTTCTGGCGAAATAAAGTCAAGTGTCACGAAGGTCTCACTTCTCTCAAGGCTTCTACTAATCACGGCCAATTGAGCTTAACACGGAACGTTCTGCACATTTTCAGAAGTGTATTTATCACAGCTCATATTCCTTCTTTGTGGATATGTAAATCCCCCTAAGTAAGTTCCATGTCTCAGTCACACAAACACAAGTGAGGCAGCTTCTGTGGCTCAAGTCCGTCGAACATTATCAGAATCTTGTTAAAGTTGGTTTTAGTTCCAACCACGGTGTGTTAAAAATGTGCTTTTGTTTTCAGGGTCGCCCGGGTCCATTTGGAGAGCGAGGGCAGCAGGGACCGCAGGTGAAAAATAAAACAATTCTGATCAATTCTTTGTTCTCTCCATGCAGAATTGAAAGCTGATAGAGCTCCTCTGTTACTGTGGCCACTTATTCCACTAAATTTTGTCATCATACAAAGAAATATCATGCACACAAGTCATTCAAGGCCACTCAACTCAAAGTTTGAAATGTGGTTCTACTGCACATCTGGCTTGTTGACCAATTTTTATTCTCCTGCTCCAACAATCGCTGTTCTCACCGGTCCAAAGCCTTCTCCTCAGATAGTTTTGTTGTTTGGTTTGATGATGGATGACTTTGAAGCTTTGCACTGGAGATTTGGCAAACATGTATTGGAAAGAATCGCTGAAGTGATCTGCTCCTGCTGTAGGCTAATATCGTGATGGTGGCAATAACAGTTCTCTAGTATAAAAATTCACAGACGCCTTTAATTGGAGATGTCCGAAGCGTTTAACATAGATCTGTCCTGAATTATAAAATCTCTCCTCAGGGTCGGCTCGGAGACGAAGGGGACCGAGGTTTACCAGGACCTCCAGTGAGTCCACAACATGTTTCACCCATTTTCCAACGCATGTGTTCTTCAAACTTAATCTTTGTGCTTAGGGAGCCCTTGGTTTTGATGGAAGTGATGGAGAAACTGGAAAACCCGGTCCCAGAGGAGGAAGAGGAACCCCTGGATCTGAGGGTCCCCAAGGGCCCATAGGAACCCCAGTGAGTGGGTATTACAGCACTTATCATCAGCATCACTAAAGTGTATCTGTCAGTCATGGAGTCTGCTGAAAAAGACATTTAAGTAGCAGTTATTAAAGCTTTAGTTTTCCTTGGTTAAGTTCAAGAGCCAACGGTACTGTACATTTTTCATTTTCATTGTTGCTATTGAGCAGTGCCGTGCTGTTTACCATCAAAAATAGACATACAATAACATCAAAAAACAATTTATCACGTAATTGGTACATTAAGTTAGATTTCTTTTATCTTTCCCTTCCGCTCTAACAAATAACAAATGACATCCAACTGATCACTAACGCAGGAAAGGTCTCCTAATCTTGTTAGATCTGAGTGCTGCTTTTGACACTGTCGACCATGAAATCCTCGCACAATTCAACTCAATTCAGTTTTTGTAAAGCCCTAAATCACAACAGGAATAATAACATGTCCTATCTCAACTATGCAGACGCCACTCACATCTATGTCTCACTGACTGCAGGAGAACATGGACCAGTGGACTCACTGTATCCAACAGATCAGTGAGTGGATGCAAAACAACGTCCTTCAGCTAAACACAAAAACAACTGAGATTATGTTTTCAGTCTTTGGTCCCAGAAGCAAAGAAAGAGCACTGTATGGTCCTCCAGTCCCTCTCCCTAAGACCCTTAAATCAGGTCAAAGATCTATGGGTAATACTGGACTCTTGGTACTAAAGTTTCATCAGAAAATATTAATTCACTTCATTTTCATCCTCTTTATTATCCATTTCTGGGTCAGGGGGATGGCAATCAGAGCTACCACCCAATTCACAAAGCACCAGTCCGTCGCTGATCCTCCTGCAGGTGGTGGGTCCACGGGAAGATGGCTGCTGCTTCAACACATATACAGCCTTGATTTTTCAGTGGGAACTTCAGGCAAAGTGGGGTTAAGTGTCTTGCCTAGGGACACAATGACAGCAGACATCAGTGGGAGCAGATTGGTCCAAAGACCAGTGCTCTTCTGTCGCTCAGTTGGTAGAGCGACAGTAGAGATGGTAAAATATTTACCATCTGAAAAACAATTAAAAAAGAGTTTCTAAGGTAGACTTGGAGATTCTAATCCTGCATTTGCGGCTCACCTGTCACTTCAAATATCTTTAACAAATGTGAAACTAAGGACCTCGCAGCACGTCGCTGCTTTTGAGCACATTCCTATATTGGCATTTGGGCCTGTGCTTTATGAAAGGTGGAAGAGTCATAACTGTATTTGTGTTTGTCTCCCAGGGGGTTCCAGGCGCTGATGGAAAGTTAGGAACAGCAGGAGAGAAAGGACTAAAGGTCAGTCTGACTGTCCGCCCTCACACGCCCAGGTGACTGTGTCGTATTAACACTGAGTAACACTGAGTTTGTGTCATTTAGGGTCCACCGGGCTCAGCAGGGGACTCTGGACCACCAGGACCAGACGGAGCACAGGTGATTTAGACCAAAAACCAAGTATTTGTTTAGACCAAGTGTTTTAGTCAGAGTCCTAAAACGATCTGTGTCTCACCTTTCGTAATCTGTTTTGTTCATGTGAAATTGTGCTTTTTTACCATCATATAACCGCTAGTACAACATGACAGTTACCTTTATTCAAATTCAGAAGAAAACTTTTGTGGCTGATGAGTTCAGAGAGCTCTCTTTCTGGTCTCTCTCTGGTCTCTTTCTGGTCTCTCTCTTTAGTTTCTCTTTGGTATCTCTCTTTAGTCTCTCTTTGGTATCTCTCTGGTCTCTCTCTCTGATCTCCCTGGTCTCTTTTGTCTCTCTTTAGTCTCTCTCTGGACTCATTCTGGTCTCTCGGTAGTATCTCTCTGGTCTCCCTCTGGTCTATTTCTGGTGTCTCTCTGGTCTCTCTCTCTAGTCTCTCTCTCTCTGGTCTCTTTTGTCTCTCTTTAGTCTCTCGGTGGTCTTTCTCTGGTCTCTCTCTGGTCTCTCTCTGGTGTCCTTCTGGTGTCCGTCTGGTCTCTCCTTGGTCTTCCTGTAGCCCTCAGTCCTGCTCCTGCCCCTCAGCATGGTATACTCTGCAGCACGCACGACTTTTGACAGCTGCAGCAGCGCTCAGACCTACAACTCACAAGTTTAATATCGCCACAATCGCACTTCAGCCGTCGTGAGTTTGGGTAGTTAGAAAATTGTATAACGTGTGTTGGGTTTTACAGCCTTAAAACATACATCTGCTTCTTCATTTCACTTATTGCGGGTTGTCTTTAGAAGGTAACGTATTATTAGAGCAATAAAACAGGGACCAGTGTATTAGACTATCTGCGCACGTCGCCCACCATGTAGTGAAACAATTAGACAGTGTTTTGCAAGGCTGTGGAGTAGTCTGACGAACAGAAACTTTCAAGTGAATGAGGTCCGCTGGGGCCAGAGTGAATATAACAGCCTCAGCTCTAGGCTCAACAAACTAAAGAAACACTCAAAAACAATCAGCAGCGATGGCGTCTTGTCCTTGAAGCTCGGCTTGCTTCTCGCGCAGGTCATAGTTCAGCATTTGGTGAGAATGATAAACAGTTTTTTCCTCAAAGCCTGAACCAATGGATAATTCTGGGGAAAAGCTTAGATGTAGCTGTGTCTAGAGCAGTGGACTTTAAAGATGTGTTTCCTAGGGCCTGCCTGGTTCTAGAGGGTCAGAGGGTCCTCCTGGACACAAAGGACAACAGGTCAGTGCATCTGGCTTTGTGCATATTGATTTTATATCATTATAATTCTGCGGGTGGTCTTTGTACTTTGAGCTCTCTGAATTCTGACATGGTGTGAAACAGGGTGACTCTGGGTCATGTGGCTCACTTGGATCTCCAGGACTCCCTGGAGAAAGGGGGCTGGAAGGACTGGCCGGTCTCCTGGGACCAGCAGGACCATTGGGTAAAGAGGTGAAGTACACTTATAATGGACATGCATTTATGAGACAAATGTGGCCCCAAGCATGACACAATCAGGCTTTCCATCCAGGAGAGATTCAGACAGTCGTGTTAACATATTCAATAATTAATAGTTACCTAATGTAACTTAAGTTCTACGAATAGGTGCGTAGTCCCTTAGGACTTCGCTAGTGGGATATCACTCGTGACCCCCAGGTCACACGCCAGAGAGATCAAAATAATTTGCTCCAATCACCAGCCACCATCCTCTATAAATGCCCCTGCACACAGCCGCACCCCCTCTTGAACTCTGCCAAGCCGGGCTGGCCTGATGGGCTCGTAGCTAAGGGACTACGCACCTATTCGTAGAACTTAAGTTACATTAGGTAACTATTAATTCTACGTCATGGTGCTACGTCCCTTAGGACTTCGCTTGTGGGACACAACGCGGAGGCCGTAGGAACATGTACTCCCAGCAGGCCAGTGAAGGGTGATTGGAGCTCCGCCCGAGCAAGACCCTCACACCGTGAGAGGACTCAGGACAGAAGAAACAAGCGTGTTACAGGGCCACTCCTACCAAGGACGCCCCCACGTAACACAGACCGTATGTCATCCGTAGTCACAGGACGCCTCTCCCAAGAGCTCCTGATGTAGACTACCAGACCGATCAACACACATATATATACCGCACCTGTAGGATGCCTCTCCCAAGAGCTCCTGAACCAGGGCGGAAAGAAACCGAAGGCCCCCTCAGAAGAGGGACCTAACGGTCTAACTCAGTCCGCTGCACTCAGCACGGAATGGGCCACCGACCGGTCCGACACATCCACAAGATAAGACCGGACGAAAGAGGAGGACGACGCCCAAGAAGCCGCACGGCAGACGTCCTCGACCGACGCCCCCCTGAGAAGGGCCGTAGAGGCCGCCATCCCACGCGTGGAATGCGACCTGAAGCCCACCGGGGGGGCCAGACCCTGCGACTGATACGCCCGCCGCACAGCCGTGGCGACCCAGTGCGCCAGCCGCTGAGCCGACAGCGGGGCGCCCCTGTTCTTGGGGCCCAGACACACAAACAGCTGACCACCCAACCTGAATGACGAGGTCATGGCCAGGTAATGCCTCAGCATTCTGACAGGACACAGAAGGTGCCGCCGCTCCTCCTCAGGGGAGGCATGCGGTGGCGGATAGAAAGCCCTAATCCTGATGACTCTCGACCTAAAGGCCGACGTGATGACCTTGGGGAGAAAGGCCGGATTGGGCCACAATTCCACCATGCCGTCGCCCTCTCCAAAAGACAGGCAAGACGCATGGACAGAGAGCGCACACAAATCGCCCGCCCTCTTAGCAGACGCCAACGCCAGCAAGAGGGCCGTCTTAAAAGCGACACACTCGGGACTCGCCTCCGCCGCCGGTTCAAAAGGCGGACCCGACAGCCCCCTAAGGACCACCTTGAGGTCCCAAACTGGGGGCGTTCTCTGGAGCGGGGGCCTCCTCCTGCGCGCCCCCCGCAGAAAACGTTTAACCAACGGATAAGAGCGGGCTGTGAACCCCCCGAATCCGTCGTGACCCGAAGTAATGGCTGCCGCGAACACCGCCAAGGTGGCGACAGCCCTCCCTTTGTCAAAGAGCTCCTGTAGGAATCCCAGGACACCCTCCAGCGGGCAACGCCTGGGATCCCAGGAACGGGAACCGCACCAGACACTAAAGAGCCTCCACCTCGTGGCGTAGGCCCTCACAGTGGACGGCGCCCTCGCCCCCTGAATGGTCTCCACCACCGCAGGGGGAAGACCCAGGTCTACGAGGCTCCGCCTCTCAGCCTCTAAACCCAGAACCTGCGGCCGATTATTGGGCTTGAAAACAGGGCTCCTCCCCCCTGGACTAGAGCCCCCGGCTCGTCCGGGAGGGCCCAGGGCTCCATCACCCCCATGCCCCTCAGGAAGGGAAACCACCGGGCATGCGGACTGTCCGGAGCCACCAGGATCACCGACCTCCTCTCCTGTTTGATCCTCCGCAGCAGGACCGGCAGGAGACGCACCGGTGGGAAAGCGTACAGCAGGCCGCCTGGCCAGGGGTAATGAGCCAGAGCGTCCACGCCTAAGGGCAGCTCGTCCGCGGCCCTTAAGGCGAACCAGGACGTGCGTTCTCTGCACTGGCGAAAAGGTCGACCACTGGACGGCCGAACCTTCGCCAGATCTCCGCAGCTACCCGCGGGGCCAGGCCCCACTCGTCCTGGAGCGGGCCCCCCCTGGACATCCTGTCGGCCCCCACGTTCCGGATCCCCGGGACGTGGCGCGCCCTGAGAGACAGGAGGTGAAGTGCCGCCCACAGCAGCGTCACTGTCGCCATGCGATGGAGAGCGGGGGACCTGGTGCCCCCCTGCCTGTTCAGATAGGAGACCACTGTGGTGTTGTCTGAGCGAACCATCACGTGTCTCCCCTGCAGCTGAGGAGCAAAGTGCAGCAGTACTCTGTGCACTGCCTCCATCTCCAGCAGGTTGATGTGACGGGTTGAGTCCGACCAGCAGCCTCCTACAGAGCTCTGGCCGAGGACCCCGCCCCATCCTTCGAGCGACGCGTCCGTGAACACCTCCACGTGAGACACGGCGCAGGCCAGAGTCACTCCGTCCCGCAATAGACCCGGAGTGAGCCAGAACCTGATGTCCGATGTTGCCACTTGGGGAACCCAGATCAGCCTCCCCCCGTCCCGGGAGGGGTGAAGCCTGAGGCGCGAGAACCACCTCTGAAAATTCCTCATGTGGAGCAGGCCTAACCGCACCACAGCATGAGCCGCCGCCATCCTTCCCAGCAGGGACCTGAGGCGCCGAGCGGGGACTCTGGGGCCCGCCAGAACCTCCCGGGCCAGACGGGTAATATTCATCCGTCTGTCCACGGACAATGCAGCACGGAATGTCACAGAGTCTAGCTGCAGCCCGAGATAAATCCTGCGTTGGGCTGGCTGCAGCTTGCTCTTCTCCCTGTTCACCACAAAGCCCAGACGCTGTATGTGGGACAGGACCCAGTGCGTGTGGCTCACGGCCACTTCCCTGGATGAGGCCAGAATTAACCAGTCGTCTATGTAGGTTAAAATTCTTACCCCTGCGCGTCTGAGCGGCTCCAGTGCTGCTTCCACACATTTGTAAAAAGTCCGAGGCGCGAGTGCGTAGCCGAAGGGAAGACGGCAGTACTCGTAATTCCTCTCTCCCACTGCGAAGCGCAGAAACCTCCTGTGTTCTGGCACTATGGGCACGTGGAAGTACGCATCTGTCAGGTCTATGGATGTCATCCAGTCTCCCTCCCTGACACACTCGAGGAGCTGCCTTGTGGACAGCATCCGAAACTGCCGTTTGGAAATGCACCCGTTTAACACGCGCAGATCCAGAATGGGACGCACCGCCTGACTTCTTTGGCACTAAGAAGTAAGGGGAGTACAGCCCCCTGGAGGCGTCCTGCGGGTCTACCTCCACTGCTGCGCCTCGACTCAGCAGAGAGGAGACCTCCGCTTGCAGTGCCTCTATCGATCCCCGTACCTGAGAGCGTACTGCCCGTACGCCTCGGAATGGTGGTGGCTTTCGGAAAAATTGCAGAGCGTAACCCCTGCGTAAAGTTTTCTCCAGCCAAATATCTGTCAGTAAGCCCTGCTCCCTCCAGATGCTGTAGAAGTCTGTGAGGGGCGGAACGGGAGCTGGAACACGAGACGTCACGGCCCCGCCCTCTCCTGGTGTTCCTAGCAGGGAGGGGGGGTGGCTGAAAGGGCCGGGGGGGCCCCTGCGTCACACCGTGAGCGCCGGGGGCGGTCACGTGTTCTGCAGGCCCGACGTCATAAGTACGGGACTGCTCATCACACGTGACTCGGCTGCTGTGCCCCCCCCTGGCTCTTGCCTCATGGAGGGGGGGGCGAGCCCCTGGAGTGGGAAACCCCGTGTTAGCCTTGTAGCTCAGAGATGCTAACACGCGTTTGGCCGAAGCACACATATCGTTACTCACCAGATCCCTCCGCCTGCCCTCTCTCCGGGAGGGCAAAACATGAACCCGTGAATCGGAGCTCGTGGCTCGCGTAGCGCGCTGCACGCCCTTCTCTGGGGGCTGCAGGCCTAGCGAAGCCACGTTATGTGCTCGAGAAGTAACACAATCAGAATTCAGATCATTTGACATGTTACATACCCCCAAATGAGACTCAGACAGCGAGTAATGATGAAATGCCGGTCGGCTTTTATTGAAAGAATTCTTCCCACCCCGACCTCCTCTGCCATAGGGAGGTCGTCGGTGGGTGCGTTGGTCCCGCGAGCCTCCCGTGTGCCTGTCTGGGCCCGGGGGTCTCGTCGGGGGGGGACGATAAGCCATGGAGCGTGGATAAGGACCAGGTCGCCTCCCGGGCGAACGCTCCCTGCCTCTGTCTCGGCTCTGCGCTGGTGGGCGGGCCTCGCGCCTCAGCGCTAGGTGCTGGGCTAGGCTAGCCGAGTCCTTGGCTGCGGTCTCCAGTCTCGTCACCAGGGTCTGCATCTCTGGACCGAAAAGAGACGTCTGGGAGATAGGCAGGTCCAGCAGCTGCCTCTTCTCCGCCTCTCTGATGTTAGTCAGCCCAAGCCAAAGGTGCCTGGCCCCGACTTGAGCTGCTGCCATGGTGCGGCCGCCATCGACAGCTAGCGCCTGGCACATGCGCAGGATCGCCGCTGAAGTGGTCCTCGCCTGGGATAAGGTGTCTCCACTGAGCGCCTGGCCAGAAGAGAGCGACCTATCCAGGGCCCCCGTGATGAAGGCCATGTTGTTTGCCACGGCGACGACCTGTGCCGCATTGGCGTAACATCTGTCGTGCATCGCCAAAGACGTCCTGTCCCGCTCGGAGGGAAGGAGAGGTCTGGTTCCGGGCCACACGGATGCGGAGGGGTGCAGGGCCATGCGGACCGAATCCTCGATGTCCGGGACCCCGCCGGTCCAGGACCAGTCCTGCACGTTGCAGTACATACCGTAGCCCAAAGCGGGCCTCTTGGCCGCTAGGGGCTTTGGCCACTCACGTGTCGCGTAATGGACGATCGGGTCCATCCGCGGGCACAACGTGGGCTGCGTCCTCCTCCTCCCTCGAGGGGTGGCGTAACCCGAGGTGAAGTCCTCCACCTTCTGGGTCGGTTGCGGTGGCAGGGGGGCATCCATGATCGCCGCCGCAGTGGAGTAGAGCCCAGGCATGTGATCCAGCGGGAAGCGGTCCGGCTCCGGGTTCGATACCACCTCGTCCAGCGTGAGGAGAGAGCCGACCTCCGAGATCTCTCCGTCCTCACAGTCACCCCACTCCGCGGGCACGGGTGGAAGGTCGAGTGGGGCCCAGTCAATCACAGACTCCTCGTCCTGAGAGGAGTCCGGACGGGGCGCTGTAGCGGCGTGGTCCTGCGTTCGCTCTCCTCCCTGGGGAGAGCGAGACACGAGGCGCAGGTGGCGCTCAACGCCGCATGGCCCGGGCCCAGGCACATGAAGCAGCTGGACTGCTGGTCCGTGCGCTGGAGCCTGACTCGACACGTCGAGCAACGACGACGTCCGACGCCGGATGGCGAAGGGGAACTCGGACGAGCATCAGAAGACATCTTATTCTCTGGTAAAAATTGAAACTGAGTAGATCTCAATCGGCGCCAGAGTGAAAGAGGGGGTGCGGCTGTGTGCAGGGGCATTTATAGAGGATGGTGGCTGGTGATTGGAGCAAATTATTTTGATCTCTCTGGCGTGTGACCTGGGGGTCACGAGTGATATCCACTAGCACTATACCACACATCACTGTCCTTAGACCCTCCTGCGTTATCAAGAAAACACTCAAAAAAATACAAAAAATCAGTGGGAGAAACTTTGAGGAGGCTCATTTTGAGAGAGGGATCCACTCCCACAGACTGACAGGCTGTAGATCCAGGACTGAGGTTGAAGACTGAGGAGGCTCCCTGGCTGGGAGGGGGGGCAGCTCTGGCTGGGGGAGACCACAGATGAAAGAGGCAGAATTCAGGAGTTCCATCATCCATCATCAATGTGATGAAAGAATGAGTGTGATTTAACACCAGCTGTGTTTGCAGCATGTACTGTATTCTGTTCTGTCATTTCTTCAGGGAGATGTTGGACTTCCTGGTGAAGTTGGCAGCCCAGGACCCAGTGGAGCAAAGGTTCCATCATCATTAATATTACAAATCTACATGGCTCTCGTTAAACCTGCTCTGATCCAATGCTCTGTTGGTTTAGGGTGTGTCTGGACCTCCTGGTTCCTCTGGTCGAGAAGGCCCCTGGGGAGCCCCTGGAGCAATAGGTGAACGTGGCCAGAAAGGAGAGATGGGCGACATTGGACTTTTGGTAAGGACCTAAAATCCCTTTTTTCTAATGTTTTACAAAATGGAATCTTGAAGTTGTTATATAATAAACAGACTCATGATATTATTATATTCTTTTATTTTGTATTTGTTTTTTCAGATCTAGAACACATTCAAATTTAAGATTTATAGTTTTAAAAGGAGAAAAAATTATTAATATTATAGCGTATTATAAAGAGGTAGAGGTAGGATCACTGTCTCCACATCAAGTAGGGAGGCAGCTTGTAAAATGTATGCTGCTAAAATCTGGAACAGTCTTCTTAAAATGTGAGACAGTCTTCTTCTCTGAAAATGTTCGAATCCAAGTTAAAACAGTTATCTGTGCATTCAGCTGAAGGATTGTATCCTGACTCTTTTTAATGTGCTGTGTTAATTATGTTTTTTTAATACCTTGTGTGATTGTTGTTTTTGTTAAGCACTTTATGTTGCCTTGTGTATGAACTCTGCTACACAAATAAACGTGCCTTGCCTTCCCATTTCAATACTACTCTCTGAGAGTCTTCATCTATTCACTTCTGAATAATCCCCTGTGCCTTTAGAGAGGCAGGACATTGTTTCTCATGTTGTGTGTCTTTAGGGCGAGCCGGGGCTGATGGGAGATGTAGGCCCCGTGGGACTGCATGGGTCACAGGTGAGGCTGAAGTTTGTGTAAAGTCCCATGGACCATGGGTTTTAGCTGAGCCACTCACTGATCTCCTGCCTGGGTTCAGGGCTCTTTGGGACTTCCTGGATCTGTGGGACCAGATGGACCTCAAGGACCAAAGGTTCAGTGACACCAATCATTTATTTCATTGTCCACAACATGACAATACACCACATTTTACATTTCCAATTATTGTCCACCTGTATACAGTCTATGGATACAATAACCCTCTCCGACCCTCCTCTAGTATCACACTCCCCCTGTTTGCCTTAAAACATCTGTAGTTACCACTCTCTATGATCCTGGTGTTTACTGTCTTTATAAATCTAGATCTGTGCCATATACAGATTGACCAATACGATTTGCGGGGGAAACTCCTGCTTTCCTTTGCAACCATCTTAGCAACACGTCTACCCCATTACGGCATAAAGCTAACCCTGTCAAAACAAATGCCTATATAAGGAAATTGGCTCCAGCTAGCTTATGTTAAAATCATCTTCCACCAAATTAAGAATAAAACTTTTGTAACGTCAGCACTCGGCCAGTCCACTCCTGATTTACAGTTTATGGGCATCTATCGCCATTCACTTATTTGTTCAACGGAGCACGAGGAGAAAACCTACGCAGAACATGCAAACTCTGCTCAGGGTAGAACATGCTAACTCCACTCCAGGCCCAATCTGGCCCAGGGATAGACATTCTTGCTGTGAAGTCCACTGCAACTTCCAGATCAACATTAATTATCAATTGAATATTTTTCACCGAACTCATTTGAATTTTTTCTCAAGGCCAGTGTGTTGTGTGCCTCTGATAACAGTTTGTCACTTGTTCAGGGGGATGCTGGCTCCGCAGGACCTCCTGGAGAGCCTGGCGCAGTGGGGCCTCAGGTAAGCTGTTCATTATCCTTTCAGTCCAGTCCTTTTCTGACTTAGTTTTCACTTTTTACCTGTAATCATTATCTTCTGTAGGGAGCAGCGGGTGCCCGAGGAGTCAGGGGAGAGAGCGGCAAACTAGGACCTCCTGTAGGTGTCGGCTGTATTAATATTTCATCACTTTAGCTAAAAATACTGTTGCTACTGCCCTTGAGGCAATTTCAAAATCTCCATGTTAAAAATTAAGAAAAAGGAAAATGGATTTGCATACTTTTAATTTTTGATGTTGTTTAGATATTTTTCCCTTAAGTTTACATAACCTGGAAAAAGGTACACGATCCAAGCATAGACTCTATATAGATTAGAGCTATCACGCTAGCTCATTGAAGCCCAATAGGGAAGTTTGATTCCAACTCGCTCAGGATTTTGCTCCTTTTGACTTACAATGATACTCTATACTAGTAACTGTTTATGTCACAATCACCATTTTGGGCTTCACAAATCTGTGGTTTAGTTTAGTCTTTATGATCCTGGTGGTCATAATGTGATACTGCTTTTGTAAATCCAGATATGCCACAAGAAAATTGGCTCCAGAAATGTTCAAATCACACTCTGGGGATGTCAGCCTTCGGTCAATCCACTCCTTAAACTTTGATTCCACTTTAATTTTTGTTACAGGGATCTATAAAGTATCCATCTGTGTATCTATCATAATATATGCTATATGGTTCTAAGAATAAAGTAAGAAATAACAAAGTCACCAACTATCAAATCAAAATATGAACAGATAACACAAAACAAAAGGATAACAGATGTTCTGTCTCTCCAGGGCCCTGTGGGTCAGCCTGGACCTCAGGGAGAACATGGAGTGAAAGGAGAGGTCGGTCCACAGGGAGAGAAGGGAGTGTCCGGGCCTCTGGGACCTACAGGGGAACAGGTCTGTGCAGGAAATTAACCTGATGTTTACGTCTCAAAACATGGCAAACAAAACCATGACAAATCAAAACCATGTGTCATAGCAGCTTCATAAAGCCCGATCTGATCCAATCGCAGAAGCTAAGCAGTGCAGGACCTGGATAGTATTTATTAATGTGATTACATTAGTCTGTCCCAGGGCAGCTGTGGCTACACTACCTTCACTATGTGTAGAGTGAATTATAGATATCCAAACTTCAGAAAAAGGTCACATTTTGGTTGGATGAGGGGTTATTTGCTTATAACTCACAGTATTTGCATGAACCAGTGTTTTTTGCCTAAGGCCCATGACTGAAACGTTGCACATCGTTTTCTTTGTTTAGAACACATCTATTACATTTTTTACATGATGGGGGTATTTAAAGTTGCATTTGTCATCATGTTGGGTTTTTAATATTATTGTATTTTCATTTCTAGAAAGAATCCAAAATATCCATCTCCAAGATATCATTGCTTGTTCTCTGGGCCATTGCACAATTTTGTCCACATTATGTTCTAAGTCATGCTCACAGACAGACACATGGTGCTGGCCAGGTTTTCCTCCTGGGCACAAGTATTTACACAAATTCATTGAATGGATGCAAATGAGCTGCAAGTAAAACTGTCTCTTTGTCTATGTAAAGTGCTTGATAAATACATACTTTCCTTCTTGTCCACATTCTCTTTATCCCCTGCTCCAAGGACTTTATACGTATTTTAATGTGTTCATTTCCATGATTAAATCTTCTGAGCTCTGATTATTCGTCTCCGTTTCAGGGAGAAGAAGGTTTTCCCGGAGTGCAGGGTCCTCCTGCTCCGCCTGGAGTCGAGGTGATTTTTATGCTAATTAAATGAGATACGTTTGTGATAAAATGCTTCATTGTTGTTAGTTGTTAAAGCAACACGGTCACATTTAGCCTTCATAAACCCGTGGTGTAATGGTCCTCTGAAGCGTTTAAGGTCTGACAGAAAATCATGGCTCTTGTTCCAGGGGTCTCCAGGTGAAATTGGAGCGCAGGGCCCAGCAGGACTCCCGGGAGCTGCAGTAAGTGTCACCTTGCCCAAAGTAATTTTAGAGAAATATGAATGCTGCATTATTCACACAAACTACACTGTGATTTTCAGGGTCCAGTCGGAAGCCCAGGGCCAGAGGGAGAGCACGGACAAAAGGGAGAGAAGGCAAGACTTTAATCATGTTCTCACTGATGTTTGTCACAAGAGCATGGCATGATAAAATGTACTTTTTACAAGTTTTAGATGTTTTCGAATGTCTGTTAAACACTAAGGTGGCTTGGGCATTTGTTTGGGATGCCTCCTGGACGACTCCCTGGTTATTCCGGGGGGAGACCGGGGAAAGACTCAGGACACGTTGGGGCACTGTGTCTCTCAGGTGGTTATGGAACACTTCAGGGTTCACCTCTGCCCCTGTAACCCAGCAATGAATAAACTAGAAAATCAAGTTGTTTTCAGCCTAGGAATCCCCATGCTGCAGTGTGCTCTCGAATTATTTATTACAGCCTGGAGTCCACTGAACGGGACGATCATGTAGTTTGTTCACAGATCCAGATGCACAAAACATGCACATGCACATTGAACAATGGTAAACCAGATCTCTCCTACAAGAAATCTCTCCTACAGTTCCCAGACTGAACACCATGGGATTTTTAGTCCGTTGTTAACTTGTATGAGTAATTTAATAGTGATTAAGCCTTGGTAAGATGATTTGTTTTTCCACCCTGTAGGGAGACGATGGAGAGGCTGGCCCTCCTGGAAAAGAGGGTCGCATCGGAAGAAGGGTAAGAAGAAAAACAACATCAAAATTTAGTAAAAAAGCATCAGTTTCATCTTTTGCGTCTCATCTCTGTAAGTGGCCAATTGCAGATGACAGGTGAATCATTCTGCTATTCTATCAGTTTGTTGTTTGTTGTTGCCGTCAGTACAGGTAATCCCAGCCAAAAAAAACCACACACACCACTGTTTTTTACCAGTTTAAACATGAATTTAACTAAAGATAATTATCTCATGATTCTCTTTCCTTTTGTGAAAATCAGATGAGGACATTTCGTTTGTGCCACATCTAACCAGTTGTATACACTTTCTGTCAACAATGGAAGCACACACACTTCTAAAACAAGCTCTCTCATATGGTAATGAATGAACCAGCTCACATTTCTTTTCCAATTATCCTCTCCACAACACCTGCTTTTGAATCTCTGTCACATCCTCCACGGTTGAAACGTGCCCTTGTCGTTCTTGTCGTACTGTGGGAGCTGAGATCGCCTCTGTTCATGCATTAAACATGGCGCTGATAATCCACAGGGGAAGAGGGGAAAGGCTGGAGTCCGGGGCGCGAGAGGAGACCGAGGAGCAAAGGTGAGGCCAGTTTTTGATACATATCCTCCTTAGTGCAAGAACGTCCTGGGTTTATTAAATCCCCCTGTGAAAACCAGTGTAAGAGAAAAGCCACTGTGTGATTTCACGCAGGGCAGGAAAATGAGCGCATGCGTTAGCCGGCATGAGTCCCATTCATTTGATAGGTGCATTCAAAAGCCCACAGCGGCTAAACTAGACCGGTCCAAAAAAAACTCCCCTCAGCGTTGACACACATCTGGAGCATAGCGCTGAGCTAAGAGCGACTTTTGGACCATCCTGTAAAGCTGTTTTCGAGACAGCATACAAAAGCATTGGGTAATTATTTTTCTGGGTATACCCCCACCGGTCCGGAGTGAGATTGCAGCATGTCGGTGCACATGCTCACGGACCCTCTTCAGGCGGGACCCAACCCCAATGGTTAAAACTCACTCATTTTTCACAAATTTTTTCCAATTCAATTCAATTTATTTTTGTATAGCCTTAAATCACACAGTAGTTACAGTATCTCAGAGGACTTCGCCAACACAGACACAAACAGTTCAAACACTGTAAAACCGCACCTAGAGCCATTGGTCCAGCAATGTCCATAAATGTTAATAAATGTTGTCAAATGTCCTGAATCATCACCACTGTCCTTAGACCTGTCTGCATCAGCAAGATCTGTTAGAAACCTCTGGCACAAACACGTTCCTCTGTCCTTGCTAGTGACATTGTACGCTACACTATAAAAATAACCTTCCATACCAGCGTTTGTTCTCCTCTCTCTATGTTCTCCAGGGTCAGAAAGGAGAGCGTGGGTTTGTGGGGCTCACTGGCTGGTCCGGTGTCATCGTAAGTTCAAATCCTTATCATTAGTTTACTTAAAAAATAAAGCAATGGAAACAACAATACATTGTTTGTTTTGATTTGTACAAGAAATGTCCGCCTTTGAATGAGAAAATAAAGTAACAGGGCTTGAAATAAGACGAAACAGCTTTGTCTCATCGGCAAAATTAACTCAAATTAAGATAAAAACCACAATTCAAGCAATTATCATCTCATATTTTATCATTTGTATATTTTTTAATCTGTTGCTGTGCAGCACACTGGATTTACTTCTGATGAGTTTGAATAAGTTGGTTCTTGACTAATATTGTGGGCGTCTTGGATTTTCTCTCTTAGGGAAGCCCCGGGTTACGAGGCGAGTCGGGAGATCAAGGACCAAAGGGAAACCAGGTCTGTGTTTTTAAACTGTGTTTATGAAAGATATTGGTTTTGTAGTGAGCAAGAAAATGATATTATAGTTTCTGTATGATTATATTTATGTGGCTTCAACCTTGATTAGATTAATATAACAGCTGAGGATTCAAATGAGCAGAAAAGAACAGTCAAATTGAGATTTTAATACAGAATCATTTTCGGAAAAGCTTGACTGGACTGGGCTGGAGGTGAGGGGCAAGAGAAGGTCTGGGCCTAAAGATTTTAGAGGAAAAAATGTAATAATAGAGAATCATGAGGAAAACTACCACTTTTTATACTGCAGGGTTAAAGATGATGATGAGGTTGATGAAGCAGACAGATACAGATGGGAGGAACCAGAACTCTGACATAGACCTGTTTGTCTCTGTGTTGTTCAGGGGGAGAAGGGCGACATGGGGCTGGATGGACCTCCAGGACCAGAAGGACCAAAGGTAACAAATTATTACTGTTGTGGTAAATCTGTGAATGATATGGAAAGGCTTTTTTATTTTTATTTTTTGTTGGTGTAAATTGTACCATGTGAAAGGCCAGGGTAGATATGTCTTTGAAAAGGGGCAGAAAAACATAAGATTTTGTATTCTTCTTTTCTGCTCCTTTCCTTCATGTAAGTGTTTAACATATGTATTTGACTATTATTATGTACAGTTCATACACAAGGCAACTCAATATGCTTAACAAAACAAGATCCATAAGATAGAACCGCATGCTTGAATAAATGATTATTAAAGCGTGCACAGCAAAACAGAGCTGTTCTTTACCTGGATTTTTAACATTATCAGAGTAGAAGTCTGTCTCACATTTTCAAGAAGACTATTCTAGATTCCAGCTGCATAAATCTATAAATCTGTTTAATCCTGACTCTATCCTAATGTGCCACCAATGAAATCTTCACACACAGATTGTAAAATGTATGAGCCAACTCTGTGATGTCTGCAGGGCGCCCGCGGTGATCCAGGGTTGCCAGGTCCAGAGGGTGCGAAGGGAGAACAGGTACTTTAAGACTACTCTTCTCAAGCCTGAATAAGATTAACTTTATAAATTATTTTTGTGTATGTGTAGGGTAACATTGGACTGTCAGGTTTTCGAGGAACACCAGGGATGCCAGGACTGCCGGTAAATGCAATCTCTGCTTTGTGAAAGTTTCATCCATGAGTCATACTTACAGCCGATACAACAGCAGCTTTGAAGGTTATGGCAACAATATGTGGGGGAGTTGAAGAATCTATGGTCTGTGGATGGAGCCTGACAGAGATAAAGAGGTTGCCCTAAGGTTTTGGACGAATAAAGATAGAGCTATGTTTATAGAGGGAAGTCTGGAAAATTGAATGAAATCTATCTATTGCAATGTTATGGTTTTTTTACTGTTTCTTTTAGACCTTTGGTACCATAATATTCTGTCCTCTGATGATAGAAAGAATGAATTTTGTCCCATGAGTGGGGGTGCAGCCATGATCTACTGTATTCTATGCTCATTATGTAGCTGGTGTTACTGTGACAGATTGCAAATGACTTCTTCCCTGTTTTTTTTTTTTAAGTTGCACACAGAACAGATGTTTGTTGGATGTCTCTCTAAAATGTGCAGCAGAAATAGACGGAGGTGCCGCTAATGTTTTTTTTTTCTTTCCTTCTGCTTTCAGGGTTTGTTTGGATTGAAGGTTAGTATCACATCAGAAATGACAAACCGCCTGCTTTCCTTGACTTATGTCTGACTCCATATGTTTCCTGTGTATTTGATGGACTGCCGGCATCACTCATATATATATGTATGTGTGCAGGGTTTAAAGGGCTTCCAGGGCCTGCCCGGTCTGTCGGGGAGACCAGGGTTCCCAGTAAGTGACACCAGCTCCACACACAGCTCTTGGCTAGTATACAGTAGTTTTTACAATATTCCAATGAGTCTAGTTCAAAGCTCATTCCTGTTACAATCCAAATAAAACTAAAACTGTTACACCTACTGTGCAGTACATACAGTGGGGCAAAAAAGTATTTAGTCAGCCACCGATTGTGTAAGTTCTACCACTTAAAATAATGACAGAGGTTTGTAATTTTCATCATAGGTACACTTCAACTGTGAGAGACAGAATGTGAAAAAAAAATCCAGGAATTCACATTGTAGGATTTTTAAAGAATTTATTTGTAAATTATGTTGGAAAATAAGTATTTGGTCACTTCAAACAAGGAAGATCTCTGGCTCTCACAGACCTGTAACTTCTTCTTTAAGAAGCTCTTCTGTCCTCCACTTGTCACCTGTATTAATGGCACCTGTTTGAACTCTTTATCTGTATAAAAGATAGCCCAAATGTAGCCCAAAACAATATTTCAACCACTGATTATCTCCCTCGATCTGGGGCTCCACGCAAGATCTCATCCCGTGGGGTCAAAATGATCATGAGAACGGTGATCAAAAATCCCAGAACCACACCTGCAGGTCATTCACCTGGTGAATGACCTGCAGAGAGCCGGGACCAAAGTATCAAAGGCTACCATCAGTAACACACTATGTCGACAGGGAATCAAATCCTGCAGTGCCAGACGTGTCCCCCTGCTGAAGCCAGTGCATGTCCAGGCCCGTCTGAAGTTTGCCAGAGAGCACATGGATGATACAGCAGAGGATTGGGAGAATGTCATGTGGTCAGATGAAACCAAAGTAGAACTGTTTGGTATAAACTCAACTCGTCGTGTTTGGAGGAAGAAGAATACTGAGTTGCATCACAAGAACACCATACCTACTGTGAAGCATGGGGGTGGAAACAACATGCTTTGGGGCTGTTTTTCTGCTAAGGGGACAGGACGACTGATCCGTGTGAATGAAAGAATGAATGGGGCCATGTATCGTGAGATTTTGAGCCAAAACCTCCTTTCATTCAGTTGAATTTTTCACATTCTGTCTTTCACAGTTGAAGTGTACCTACAGTGCCTTGCGAAAGTATTCGGCCCCCTTGAACCTTTCAACATGTCGCCACATTTCAGTCTTCAAACATAAAGATATAAAATTTAAATGTTTTGTCATGAATCAACAACAAGTGGGACACAATCGTGAAGTGGAACGAAATTTATTGGATAATTTAAACTTTTTTAACAAATAAAAAACTGAAAAGTGGGACGTGCAATATTATTCGGCCCCTTTACTTTCAGTGCAGCAAACTCACTCCAGAAGTTCAGTGAGGATCTTTGAATGATCCAATGTTGTCCTAAATGACTGATGATGATAGATAGAATGCACCTGTGTGTAATCAAGTCTCCGTATAAATGCAGTTCATCCAGAGTGATCATGGGCCTCTTGGCTTCATCTCTGATCAGTCTTCTCCTTGTTTGAGATGAAAGTTTGGAGGGATGGCCGGGTCTTGGTAGATTTGCAGTGGTCTGATACTCCTTCCATTTCAATTTAATTGCTTGCACAGTGCTCCTTGAGATGTTTAAAGCTTGGGAAATCTTTTTGCATCCAAATCCGGTTTTAAACTTCTCCACAACAGTATCTCGGACCTGCCTGGTGTGTTCCTTTGTCTTCATGGTTCTCTCTGCGCTTTAAACAGAACCCTGAGACTATCAAAGAGCAGGTGCATTTATACGGAGACTTGATTACACACAGGTACATTCTATTTATCATCATCAGTCATTTAGGACAACATTGGATCATTCAAAGATCCTCACTGAACTTCTGGACTGAGTTTGCTCCACTGAAAGTAAAGGGGCCGAATAATATTGCACGCTCCTCTTTTCAGTTTTTTATTTGTTAAAAAAGTTTAAATTATCCAATAAATTTCGTTCCACTTCACGATTGTGTCCCACTTGTTGTTGATTCATGACAACAAATAAAAATTCTATATCTTTATGTTTGAAGCCTGAAATGTTGAAAGGTTCAAGGGGGCCGAATACTTTCGCAAGGCACTGTATGATGAAAATTACAGACCTCTGTCATTATTTTAAGTGGGAGAACTTGCACAATTGGTGGCTGACTAAATACTTTTTTGCCCCACTGTATCAACTCTGGTCTCTCTCTCTCTGGTTTCTCTTACTGGTTTCTCTCTTTCTGGCTTCTTGCTCTCTGGTTTCTCTTTGATCTCTCACTGGTTTCTCTCTCTAATCCCTCTCTCTGGCCTCACTTTTTTCTTTTTTTTTTCTTTTTACTCTCTCTCTCTCTCTGATTTCTCGCCGGCCTCTCTCTCTGGTCTCTCTCGCTCTGATCTCTCCCTTGTCTCTCTCTCTGATTTTTCACCAGTCTCTCTCTCTCTGGTTTCTCTCTCGGGTCTGTCTCTCTCTGCTGGCTTGCTCCTCTGGGATTGGAAAAAGTAATTCCATTTAAACATATGATGTGGTCCAGTAGAAAGGACTTTCAGACATGAGAATAATATGCCGCTTTCTGAATCACAGTCAAATATGATCTGGGAAAACAACCGGACATTTAAATGAATATGGGAAAGAAGCCGGTTTTGAAAAAGATAGAGATGTGCTGGCACCTCCTGAAATACTGAAATAGTTTTTTAAAACATGAAACTCATCAGGCTGTTCTGTGTTTGTTGTAGGGTCCTCCCGGTCTACCAGGACTTCCAGGGAAATCCCTCAACATGACTTTATCACAGCTTAAGGTTCGTGCTGCAACCTGTTGGACCATTGTAGAAATTGTTTAGTTATTTATTTTAGTTTTTACCTTAAGATAAATTAGTCTTAGGCTCACAGCAGTTGGACACACACATGCAAGACACACTGATCATGGGGAAAATCACACAGTCTGTGCAATATTTGTTTTCTAAATGTAAATATTTTGTAATTTTTCTGTCTAGATGTCCTCTGTCACATCTAAAGAAAACTTTAGATGTGACAGAGGACATTAATACATGCATGTGAAAGCTAGTGAACCAAACTGTTTTATAGAGCAGGGATTACACCCTACTTCCACCAGCCCTATCATACTCTACCTGGCTCTACTCTACCCCGATTGGGATTGTTTCCACCGGCCCCTCCACTGCTTAGTCCTAGTTACCAATTCCCCGGGTATCAGTTGGTTGTGGGTCGGTTTCTAGAATACACTACCAGATGCTAAAAAGTTATGGAAATGCACCCAAGTAAGATGCAGTGTAATGGAATACAGTAGAGTGGAGTAAGAATAGAGGAAAGGAGGGGAGAGGAAAGGGGAGCCGGTGGAAAGGGCTGTATAGGATTTTATTTTTTTTCTTCTCCAGCTTTAACTGACCATTCTTGGCTCAGGCTTGACAATCATTTTAGCCTTGTTACATTTGCAAACAGCCCCAATCGCTCTCCTACCTTCAGCAGAATGTGGCCCTTTGTTCCCTCTGCTCAGGACCTGGTTTATCAGTCGGACAAACCAAACTTCTCGCTGCTCCACACGCTGCTGGAGTCTCTGCAGCTGGAGCTCCGCCTCCTCCTGGATCCTCCGGACGGCAGCAAAGAGCGGCCCGCCACCACCTGCCTGGAGCTGAGGCTGTGTCACCCGGACTACAGCAGCGGTCAGTGGGGCTGGCCAGCATGGACACAAAGGCATATCTCAGTGTAGAGGCTTTTGATTCAATCCAATATGCTTTATTTATGTAGCATATTTCATAAACAAGACAGATTCTAAAGTGCTGCCATAGACTGTCCACAGATTACACTGATGCACAAGTTCATTGAAGGCCAATAGAGAATCTGTGGTTTAGCGCTGTCTGTGATCCTACTGTTTGTATTGTGATATTGTCTCTGTAAATCCAGATGAGAGCCATATGAGGACTACCCAATCAGAGGCTTTCACTCGCAGTGAAAATGCTCCTGCTCCTTTTACAGCGCAAAGCTAACTTTGTCAGAAAAATGCCCATATAAGGATTTGGCTCCAGCTAAAATTAGCATTTGGTAGCCTGTCAGCCAACTGTTTTTACTGTATTTCAACTTATATTCACCAGATTATTCACTTAAAAAATAAAAACATGGTGGAAATTCTCAGAATGTAATTGGTTTGAATGAGAGCAGTCACAGCAGCTCCTATTCATGACGGCTCCGGGAGTTCTAGTAGTTTCATCATAGAGTTTTAGTGTTAAACATTTAGCTTGAGCTCAAAATGATTAAATACTTTGTGTATAGATTTTTGTGCTCTGTTTCCGAGACTAAACCAGAATGCCAGTGTCACCCTTCCCTTTTTTTGTTCATCAAAACAGACACAGAAAGTTCATTATTTCTACCAATGTGAATATTTGTGTATCTATTGTGTGCAGGCATGTATTACATCGACCCGAACCAGGGCAGCACTGGAGACGCTCTCCTGGCCTACTGCAGCTTCTCCGGACCCTCCCCCCAGACCTGCCTCCACGCACGGGACCCCCAGGTGACAACACTGCCAGAAATGACCCAAAATCAATCAATAATCAATCAAATCAATCAATCTTTACTTGTTAAGCACATTTAAAGCAGCCTAAGCTCACCGTAAAGACTTCTGAAAGATGATTTTGGTCTTCATACAGTAACTTTTTCTGTGTCTATGTCATCATTTTAATGAAATTATCTAGTTCCGAGACTGGTTCAGAGCACAGACTGTACATTTTCAGAGCAATTGCTAGTTTGCTAGTGCTAGTTATTGTCGCAAACACACTGTTGCTATGGTAACCAGCACTAGCTAATACACTGCAGAAGTAATGTCCATATAAGGACATTGGCCTCGTCTGTTAGCCGACGTATTACAAATAACGCATGATAATATGTTTTCTGTGCTGCAGCTGCCGATGAGAGCCTGGATGGAGGACGTCACGGAGGAAGGCTCCTTCTTGTGGCTCAGCAGAATGGACCTGGGTTTTCAGGTCTGTACCATGTCAATATTTAGTCTTTTAGTCCATTAATTGGTCAACGGTCTCGTAGTCGACCAAATGATGTATTTGTCGGGCAAAATGAGCGACACGTTTTCCCAATTAGTTTAAGGAATAAATATGACTAATTATTTTTTTCAACTAAAGAAAAACAAGACAATTTACTGGTCATTTTATGTTTTAGAATTATGTTAGAAAATATATGGTGACTTTGAGACTATGGGAAGAACTGGGAGTTTATAAACAGTGACAGTATGGTAACAGTACAACAAATCTGCATCATAGACTCAATGTTTTGTCCTTTTATTATAGAACTAGCCATCCCCCCAGACTCTGTGTTTTATAAATTGCAAAAAAATATATACATTTTTTATGTTATTCTTATGGAAAGTTACCGGCTGCAAGCACAGACATGATGATGTGATTGTAAGAGAATGTAGTTTCACTTAATAAATTACCAACATTAATTTTAAGGCAATACTATTGTTTTAGAACTCTCAGTCCTCGTTCTACAGCCTGAGTCCTGGATCTACAAATCTTGGAGTGCATCCCTCTCAATGTGGGCCTCCCCAAGATTTCTCCCTTTTTTCCAACTTGGTTTATTTTGAGTTGTTCCTTGTCGATGCAGGAGGATAAGGACGGTGATAATCCCGGACATTTATTAAGATTTCTGGACTGTGGTCATTTCTGATTGGATTACTCAATAACCGAAGTGTGTTTCCTGCGTCTCTGTTTATCAGTTTGATTACCCTGGAGCCAGCGTGGTGCAGCTGCGGTTCCTGAGGTTACAGAGCAGCACCGCGGTCCAGAAGCTCACGTACTCCTGTCACCCGGGACACCGGCTCGGACCGAGCCACCGCGACGTCAAGTTCCTCACCAACACCGGGAAACAGAGCTACCTGGGCCAGCTCCACGACTGCCTGGTACACTTACTTTATCCATCTATTTGTAATTGTAGTCATTTTGTATTTGTTTTTTTATTCTCTCTGGTCTTTCTCGGTCTCTCTCTCTCTGGTCTCTCTCTCTATGATCTCACCCTGGTCTCTCTCTGGTTTCTCTCTCATGTCTCTGGTCTCACTCTGGTCTTTCCCTGATCTCACTCTGGTCTATCTCTAGTCTCTCTCTGGTCTTTCTCTATTTTCTCTTACTGGTCTCTCTCCTAACTCCCTTTCCTGTTTCTCTCTGGTCTCTTTCTCTGGTGTCTCTCTTGCACCTGTTTCTTTGGCCCCTCTCTCTCTGGTCTTTCTTTCCGGTCTTTCTCTGGTCTCTCTCTCTTTGGACTCTCTCTCTCTGGTCTTTCTTTCTGGTCTCTCTTTGGCCTCTCTCTCTCTGGTCTCGCTCTGGTCTCTCTCTCTTTGGCCTCTCTCTGGTCTCTCTCGCACATGTCTCTTTGGCCTCTCTCTCTCTCTCTGGTCTCTTTCTCTCTCATCTCTGGTCTTTCATCCTGGCCTTTCTTTCTGGTCTCCCTCTCTCTCTCTGGACTCTACACACAGCCACAAACGCATGTGTAAATGTGGCATGAATAAAATAACAAGCTGACAACAGCGTGTTTGTGTACAGCCCGCGGAGGAGACGAGCTCGGACGCACGAGAGGCTATTTTTGAGTTCGAGGACCTGCAGCTGCTTCCCCTCAGAGACGTGGCTGTGATGTCGCAAGCCAACAGCACACACCGCTTCAGCTTCAGCATGGGACCAGTGTGTTTCAGCTAGAGGCAGTAGGCTCCCTCAGGCCCCGTCCACACCAAAGCCCTGTCACCCTGATGCGTATGTGGTGTTGTGTGGAGGAACAAACGGACTGCAGATGGAACATAGAGAGACGCGGTTAAATGATGTGATTTCAGATTATTTCAGTTTTAAAGGCCCAATAGGATGCTATCTAATACTTTTAACATCACTTCCTACACACGCAGCAGCACACAGGGAAGTGCAGAAGGAGCATGACCGGGCTATTTTAATGGGACCAACTGAATATAGTAACTTAAATCTTACTTAAGTATTGGTATTTAGGCTGATTACGCAAAGAGTCCCACCTCTCTGAAGAAATGCACAAGGCCACTCTAGTCAGGAAGTCAGGAACTGCAATAATAAGGAGCCATTGGTCCATAGGGAGGGGGAGGAACACTGTCCAGAAATTTTAATCAATGTCCTTAAATGTCCTGGATCACCACTGTTAGACTTAGACCCTCCTCCACCACTCAAAGGAACCACTCAAAACCTAGTGGGGAAAAAAAGAGAAACCTCCAAATTCTTTATTGGCTCTTTGTTTGTTATGACGCTGCTGTGAGAGAAACGGATTCCTTTCTCCAATATATTCAGTCAGTTCAGTGTAACAGAATAAATTATGCTCTGATAAATGAATAACAGAGAACAAGAAAGAACTATTTTGTTGTTTTGTCAAGGGCAGGTAATTTGAAAACACTATTTTTTTGTATGGAAAATTAGGTCTGGCTTTTCAAAAAACTACTTAGTAAAGGGCACATTGCAGGCCTAATATTTTTCAAATTGCACTTACTGTATCTGTTTTTGCAAATGAACTACTGTATAAAACAGATAGAGATGACCTGGTTCTGTCTGCGTGCTAGGATTCTATGGTGATGCTTTCTGTGTCTGCTCCACCAGAGAGAGAGAGAGGGAGAGAGAGGACAGGAAGGCAAAGAGCCAAACCCCCAGCAGTTGGCATCCTTTTTCAGACTTATAAAAATGCATTTTCTTTTAAGTTCTCTCAGGGTGAGTTTGGGCGAATCGTGGAAGATCAGGACCCGTGGACTGCATCAAACTGCAGTCGTTTTGAGCTCATTCCTCAAACTTTCTCACACGCTCTTCACATTCAAAACCTCACATTCTCACTGCGTTTATAGTTCAGGGTCTGAGGAATCACTTAGGTGAATCGCCTTCTGTCTCTGATATTGTGAAATGCATAAATGAAATGCATCGATACGCCAGCTCTCCAAATGCAGTTAGTTTGGCGTCAGACTGTTGGTGTGTTTGCATCTGCTGACGTCGTCTTTCTCTCCTCTCCCAGACTCCCTCAGTAAATCAGCACATTTTCTCAGGTTCTGCTCTTCGCTTGCGGCTATGCAACTTTTTCCACTAAGCAGCTAAAATGTTTGTTTAGTCGTTTAGTGTTGCAGAATTGACACAGACATCTTCGTGTCGGTAATGCAGTAATATTCCCAGTGGCAGTCCCAGAGCAGACTGTAGACTTGAGAATGGATGGAAATATGTTTAATGGCTCTCGCAGTAACTCAGTAATTTTTTGCTGCGTAGCTCTCGATTGTCCGCGCAGTCTACGTCCTCTCCCTCACCTCTGGTCTTGAGCCTTGGGTAATGACCGAAAGGATGAGATCGCAGATATATAAGCGCTCCACAGGGGGTTATCGGTCCCCCTGGGAGGAGCTCGTAGAAGAGCCGCTGCTTCTCCATGTCGAGGGGAGCCGGTTCAGGTGGCTCGGGCATCTGTTTGGGATGTCATCTCACTGGGGAGGAAAAAAATCTGTTTCCAAGACTCACAGACGCCGTGTCGCACTGGTTCATGGGTTTTAGTAATTAGGAAGTAGTACATACATAACATTATGTCTTCTTTCATGGTACCAAATTACTCTGTAGCTGATTAGCGTTTGCACCGTCTTTAAACTCTTAAGATAATATTTTTTCCATCTCTGAGAAAGGCAGTTTCCGCTTCAAGAGTGTACAGTATAAAGTGTGGTGCAGGGCCTTAAAAAATCAAGCTGCAACTTTACAGGTTTCATTCATTGCAGGTTATTTTCAGAACTAATAATTAATCAAGGGGTCACTGATTGGAACCAAACTCGTTTAAAAAATCTGTCTCCAAGAAGAGCAGTGTCGCAATGGTTAATGGGATATGGAGTTTTGAAATATGTACACAGTCTGGTTCTTTTTCCTTTCCTTCAACGTTTGCCTTTTATTTAACGTGCGATGTCTTTTAGCTCCTGAGACTTAAATGTTCTTTCAGTCTGCAAGCTTAATGGAAAGCCGATTCCATTTCCAGACCTCAGCAGCTGGAGCAGGTGAGGCAGGACTTTAGAGCTCAAATAAACATTTTCAAACAGATATAGACGACTTTAGAAAGGAAATAAACACCAAACTGATATTTACATCAAAGTTTATTCTTCGTTCAAACACATGAGATTTCCCGTTAGTATTTCTGACTCCAATGCAGACAAACTCTTAGTGGCAAGAGCGGCCAAAGCTAAAATCCACTCAAAATAATATCTCTCCACAAGTAAAAAACACAAAGCTTTAATTATCACTAAAAACAATAATATTTGGATATATCTGGTGTGGACACGGCCTGAACGAGCTTCTCTCTCTTTTGGACTCTTCCTATTCTCAACGAAGTGGACTTTGTTTACAGACTTTGATGTAACAAGTATTTAAAATGTTGTTTTTTTGTATGGTATTTACATTGTGTAATATTTGTATTATTATTATTATGACCTCGTCGTTCTGTGTCAAACCCACGGTGACCTCTCAACAATGTGTTTTCTAAGGCACAGCAGCTGGAAATCCTTTGGACTCGATTCATACTGGACTGTTCATCTCAAGGTGCTAATAATGACGCTATATATTTTTAACAATTGATGCAAAATGTCTGCTTCCTTAAAGGGGATGTGTCTGTGGTATGCAGGGCCTGTTCTAAAGGCATTTGGGGACCCTCACATTGTGCTTGTTGGCCCCAGAATGAATTGCAAATAGATGAAAACAACAAAGCCAGAATTCAGAAATATCTTAATGGACCAAGCCACTTATTATTGAAGGAATTTCAAAAATTTTACATATAACTTGAATCTTTTAGAATTTTCTGCTGGAGGTAGGTTTTCTCAATTGCAACGGTGTTTATCAAACTTGAATATTTAACCACATCGAAATCAGATTTTATAGAAGACAAGTAGCCCTTGAAGTTGGGTGGGCTGAGTAGTTCACAAAATTGATTAAATTAATGTAAAAGGGAGCTAACCCAGGCTTAAATAGGACTATGATTTCAAGCAACAATTGAGTATAACCCAAAAAAAGGCAAGAATATGCTTTAAAATCCCCAGAAAGTGGCTCAGTGGCTGTAGAAGAAGAATGGCTTTGTTTATGTCACGGACCATCCCTGATTTATAAGACTATCCAGGTTTAATAAAGTTGATAAACGTCTATAATATCCATGTTCTCTCAGGGAGACTTCTGCGGTGCCCGAAGCTCTTGTGTCTTCTGTATATACTGTATTTCAGGTCAAACGTCTCCTTGTTGTTGGTGCTTTTGTGTTAAATCCTTGTTAAATATGCCTTAGCTGGCTGAGACTGATTCTAATGTAGTATTTTCTGTGGAAGTCGATCAGGAATGAACAGACGTGCCGGACTATCTGTCTATAGTCTGAACCTCTGACTGGTGTACAAAGTAAAACACACAATAAACTTTCACATTCCAGTCCGTGTGGCTTTTTCTCATCTTTAAAAATACTATACGGTGTTGTATTAAATATAGGCTAAAAGGCGATGTGAATTAGATTGACCTGAAATTGAACTCTGTCTGTCTCCAAGCAAAAAGAAAGACCTTGTATTGCCCAACTCCCCTTGTCCCATTTTGTCCAAAGTGCATGGGTGAGTTAATGATAGTTAATCTGGGGGGATTCTGCTAATCCTTTCAAGTTGTGAAAGAAGGAGATGGAGTCCAGAATCTGGAGGAGAAGCCTTGAGATCCCTCTGCCTTATCTCAAAGGAACTAAATAAGTCGATAGAATTAGGGAGGGGTAGTGCGTGAATGATTTCTGTTTAGGTCTGGCGAGACGGAGGAAAAGGCCGGACCTTGGACCAGACATCTGCCTGATACGACACGCCCCCTTCTTCATGCACATTTACTTATAATAACCTCATGCTTGTGTTAGTCTAGACCGGACCAGGGACAGGAGTGTGATTTGCGTGGAGCGCCCACCAAAATCATACTTTTATATTTTATATAGAGAATAAGGGATAGTTACTTTTGGTCCGAACAGCTGTTTTAGATTCTTTTTGTATTAGGGAAATAAACCTTTTTGAATTTAACTTCCTGAATCATGGTCATCTTTATAAGGGATTTTGAACACGTCATTTTTTAATGTAATAATTGGTGACCCTCGACGTGATCCCTTTGATGACTTTCAACCTCTCCCTTGGACTCTGCATCTCTCCTCAAAGCGGCCGCTGATTTGAAGGTAAGCAGATACCTTTTGACTAATTAAAAATCTGCATATTGGACTACACAAATTAAGGGGAGAGAAGTTTTGTCCACGGAGGAGCTAATTCAAAAAGTAAAAATAGTAAAAGCCTAAAAAGTAGTGAGAGCCTTGCGAAAATACGTTAAAATTAAATAAAATAGGAGTCTAAGTAGCTAGAACCCTGCGAGAATACATTAAAAGTAAAGATTTTTTGAGAAGCCTTGCCAGAAACAGGAAAGCCCGCTGTGACTAGCGTGGTTGACGGACGCGTCAACACACAGGTTAGGTTTTCACCATTGGAACCTGGGGGAATTTTGGGCCCCCCCGAAAAATGGAGACAGGCATTCCAATCGAGCAGCTATATAGAGAAATAGAGGCTCAGATTCTGAGTGGTCTGGATAAAAAATATAGGAACAAGGCAAAACGAAAGGCTGTGAAAGCATGGGAAAAAATACAGAACAAAAGGGTCATACCTGAGTATATGACAGCGTCCGCATTGGCTAAGATATTG